ATGATAGTGCATCAGCAAAGTGAGTTTATACCAGTCAGTGTTTTGTATCATGTAGCTATGGTATTTTTGACCCAGTACTGTCAGATTGGTAGAAGCTCTAAAGCTAACCTGGCATTACTGAGCCCTAGCCGCTCACTCATGAGTGAACCGCACATGCATATATATGCACTGCATGAACTCCACTATACAGGTGAATCCTCTAGGCCACAGGGACATAGAAATAGCATATTTGTGTGAACATATTTCAACTGTGCTTGAAGTATTCTGGATCCACAGATACAGATTACATGTAAAGACAATTTTTCAGTAACACCAGTAGGTGTGATGTGTAAGAGACACCATTTAGCTTCTCCGGGAAAACAATGAATTTTGATGGCTAATATTAAAGCTCCAGATTTTCTTGGACTGCATATCTCAGTAGTGGGATCCCTCTTCTAGAATGTCTTTCATTCCATGAACAGTTGTTTACATTTACTTAAATCTGAATATAGAGCCTGTTAAATCACTAACAAATGGTAGTCACTGAGGCTTATATGAAGTATTGCATATGTTTGCAGCCACACCCAAGCACTCACCTTAAAAGCACATAGAGACAATACTATTTGTTAGCTTGCACAATGCATGAGATAAGATGACGCAATATTCATATGTCATTGCTGTTGTATGTGCTGTTCATGCCAGGTGTTTCTCCTGAACAGCACGTAAGCATATGGCATTGATAAGCTATGCACAGTCTTTTTCACCCCTCGTCTCCACTGTGCAAAAAAAGTAGAAGTGATCCATTTGATCTCTCCCTTTCTACTCTTAGGTAGTCAAGTCAAACCTTTCTTTTGCTTCCTAATTCTCATGTAAGGCCCGCAGTGACATCATCTAACTAGGACTTTCAGGGTGTGGACCATTATTGTTATTTATAGAGTACCAGACTTACACTAATGTGGTCAGGGTTTAAACTGGGCAAGAAAAGCACTAACATTAGCAAAGACAAGAAATTAAAGACAAAGAGTTGAAAACTGCTAATATGTGAGGAAAGATAATTTTCCTATCTTTTTTTTCTAGAAAAATGTATAAATTGCAGGTTTGCTGAATTATCAGGTAGTTACACGTTTATCGAGAGTACATTTAATAGATTTCCTTAAAAGTGAAAAATATACTACGTAAATTTTACTTGATTTTTACAATGTACTATTTTAATGTAATACTCTTTTTCTGAAGAACAACGCTATAGTCAGTTATAGCTAAAGCTATTTTGAGCAGTAATTCTACTGGTTTTTATGTTGGTGTATTTTTAAGAAGGGAATATAATCATTGAATGTAGGCAGTATAAAGTTCCCTTCTAAATAGGAAATGTGGCAACACTTAAAGGCCTTGGAAATAGGATATAAATATTGACACAGTAGTATAAGGCAGAAGTACTGTTTTTGAAAGAAAAGTAAATATATCTCTTCATATAATTACTATGATACAATTCACATAGCTTGTTAAGACTCCTCACCACTAAATTTAGACTAGAATGTGTTTCAAAATAACTTCAGTTGAGTACTTTCGAGTTACAGAGTATGCTGGAGGACTGCAGCAATGATAACAGCCTCTTCATAGCACTAATACTGTACCCTGTGCAAACCACTTTCATTTGGAGATGAAATGTAGGATATTACAGAAATTTCTTCTGATTGTCAAAGTAGATGTCAGGAAAGCAAATTTTATTTTTAACATTTACAGGAATTTTTCTTGGCCTTCCTTCTTTGAGCGAGGAGGAAACAAAGAAAAGGACTGGGAGAGCTTGGGAAGGCAGCTGGCACTTCAGAGGAGGCAAGGATGTTCCGTAAAAGTTGTTTTCTTTGCTGGAATTATGGAAAATAGTGTTTGGAAGAAACAAAGTTCCTTTCTCTCCCTTCCCACTCACATCTATGGTTTCATAGAGTCAATGTGGAGTACTCAACAAAAGGTGTGTATGATTATAATGTCACCTCTTCATATCTGTAAGGCCACTTCTTATGCACGTTGTCTCTGAAATAGTTGTGGAGTGGTTACTCTTATCATTTATTGTCTCACAGCACACGAGGTATCCAAGCAAATAGTTCGTCAATTCTCCTGTGAAGCCCAAGACTCAGTAGTATATCAATACTGCAGCCTGGAAACATCAAAGCAGTTTGATAAGGGTACCAGACCCTGACAAAAATAACCCTCCCACCTTTTACATTGCTATTTATGTATATATGTTGGCATTAGCTGAAGCTTTATTATGCTTTCTAGTATATCCAGTTGCAATGGAAGTTACCAGAGCAAAAATAATCTTTGGCTCAGAAGCTGCAGAGAGCAAGCAGAAGGCAGTTGAGGGTCATGGAGGCAGTTCCTGATGTTGGTGAGGAGAAAGGAAGCAGGCTGCTTGGTCTGATTTGGTTTAACCAGCTTTTAGTAGAAACAAAATATTTCCTGAAAACTCTGCCAGGGTTTGCAGTCCTTTATTCAAGAAAATACTCTTTTGCTTAGGTGAGTAGCTGGCTTCCCTTTGTCCACCATGTCCTCTTTAAAATTTTCACCCACTGCCCAGTAAGGATCCCCTTCCTTTCAGTGTTCTGGACTCTGGCCTCTCTCCCATGTTCCCCGGCTTCTTCCTAAAATGAATTGACTTGCCCTTGGCGGCACAAGTCTAATGTGATTATTTTAAAGAAAGAGCAGCTACCATACAATCAGACATCTGGGGGGAAAAAAAAGTGGCTAAGAAAGATTCCCACAGGAACATGCACTGAAGGCATGCCAAGCACCAGGGAAGTCCATGTGCACTGGCACAGTAGTTTCAATACGTAGCAAACTTTGTAATCATGGTTTCACAGGAGTCAGGAATTCACCACTACTTCAGTTGGTATTTTATTTATTATCTCAAAATTGTCCTTTAAAGGACAGAGATCTGAAAAAGACTTTTTTTTTTTTTTTTAAACTGGCAGTTCTGGAGTACAGGTAAATTAATACTGAATCAGTGTCCTATGTTTGATTCAGTGGAAATACTGTTCCTTTGAAATAAACTGCAAGCAATATGTTGTGTAAGAGCTGGGACAGCAGGTTTACAACTCTCATGTTGTAAACTAATGGTCTGAGTCTTTACCAGCTTATTCAGTGTAGTATTTTATTAGTGTTACAGCCAACATAAGCATATTGCTTGTCTTATCTATGCTTCTTTATAACCATATTACCAAGATTACAGCAATTCATTGCCTGACATTTATATATCTGCCTGTCAAACCAAATATTCATGGAGTACTCATTGCTGCTCAGAGTAGCCTGGAGTAACAGTTCTGATCCCTCTGGCTACCTCTCTGTATCTCCTCGCTGGTAGTGAAGGAGGTCTTGCATATATGCATTTGTAAGATCCCATCTCTTTGTTCCTGTGTTTTTAGTGCAATCAGTTGACATTCCTTTACCATGTCATTTATTTGATGGTGTTGCCAGTATGCTATTGCATTTGTGGTGTGTAGCGTGCATTTTCATTACTATTTCTAACATTGGTATCAATGGTAAGTTTGGTGGATCAGTAAGAGAAGGAAGATTATGATCTCTTCCACAATGGATAGTAGCAGATATAAAGTAATATCTTTCATAATGGAATAATGTAAATAAAATGCTACTCATTAATGAAAGGTGATTAACCGAAAAAAATAGTTAAATGCACTAAATCTTAAAAATAGTTAATGTTCTTAAAATGCTATCAGCATTTTGAATTTTAAGTACATTTTAAATGCATAAACATCAAGAAGTTGAAGAAGATTCTTGTGAACAGTCTTTGGTTCATGGATTTCCCTGGTTAGATAGAAATGTCTGTCATACTCTTAAGGTCCTTGTATGCATCTGGAGGAGGGCAACCAAGCTGGTGACAGGGCGGGAAGGAACGTCCTACGAGGAGCAGCAAAGGAGTCTGGGTTTGTCTGGTTTGGAGAAAAGGAGGCTGAAGGGTGACCTCATGGCTCTCTGCAGCTTCCTGAGGAGGGGATGTGGAGAGGAGGTGCTGAGCTCTGCTCCCTGGGATCCAGGGACAGGACACCTGGGAATGGCTCAAAGCTTTGCCAGGGGAGGTTCAGACTGGATGTTAGAAACATCTCTTTACCAAGAGGGTGGTCAAACCCTGGAACAGGCTTCCTAGAGGGGTGGTCGCTGCCCCAAGCCTGTCAGTGTTTCAGAGGCATTTGGACAATGCCCTTAATAACACACTTAAACTTTTGGTCAGCCCTGAAGTGCGCAGGCAGTTGGACTAGATAGATGATTGTAGGTCCCTTCCAACTGAAAATGTTCTGTTCTATTCTGTTCTGTTTTATTCTATTCTATTCTATTCTATTCTAATGTCATGCAGCTTTTGGACTTCTACCAATCTTCAGCAGAGACCTTGTGAAAATGCCCTTGTGATGAGGAAAAAAAAAGTTCAGTTTTTAGTACAGGTCAGTTGCAATAACTTCAGATCCTTCCCACAAGGTAGATGAGAAAAAACAGCCTCATGAAGTCTCTGCTCGGAGAAAATGCTTGGCAGTATTACAATGACTGGAATTTTCCATGCCCTTTCCAACTCTAAGAAATGAGTGGAAAGGTGAAAAACTATCAGCAGAATACTGTGAGGTCAAATGAGACAGACTAGTATAGAATATTTTACTGGAACTGGTCATGAAGTATCATTAAGTCGTTTGTATAGCCTAATTCTGTAGATTTTAGCCAACATACTAGTTCAGGCTATCAGCCTTCAGAAGCCTGACCTACCCCAGATGCGAGGCCAAGGTCAGAGGGGGCATGATTCACCTGTGAGGAGTGTGTGTTGTCATCGCCCGTCTGGGCAGGAGAGTCCCACCTGCGGTGTCCTAATTTCCACGGCAGCAGCATGCTTGGCCCCGATTGGCCGCACTGGCTCCCCGCCTTGCTGCGGATTGGCCGAGCCTTCCGCCTCCTCTCTCTCATCTTGCTGGGGCACCCGTGCTGCCCAGCCGCAGCTCTTCCAAGGCTGACCATAGAGGGACTGGAGGATGCCCACGCATCAGCACTCGGTCGATAAGGTGTGTTGTTGGGGATGTGGCGGACAGGGTACACGTTAACTGGTGATGTTTATTCTCAGAGGCTAAAGAGTAAGTCTGTGGCTCAGTGAGAGCGTTTAGGAGGAGACAAGAAAGGAGAAAAATACTCATGAAGAATGGGATTAGAAAGAGGTGTACAGGACTCAGTCTTAAACTGTTGGCAGGATGGACTTGTCAGACCGTGTTTTTCAAATTACGGAAAATTATTTAACATATTAATTAAATGCTCTATGCTTAAAGGCTTTTAAAACAACTTTTGTCTCTATTCAGAAGTTTGCCCAAGGCTCTGGAGAAGCAAACCACCAAAGTGTGTCTTCCGGAGTCCACTAGACTTTGAACGCAGTAGCTAACTAACTAGCACCCAGGCATTTAATTGTTGGCCTGAAGTTGTGTTAGACTGAATGTGGAAGAGGATTCTTAGGGTAGCAGCTCAGGTACTGCAAAGATTAGGGCCATATAGGCTTGTAGGAAGAAGGCATTGTATCTGTGATAAAAAAAGAATTACAATTTTTCCTTCAGATGAAGGAACTGAGGGTAAGGTTAATTTTTCATTATTATACCCATAATTATATTAGAAGCTTGAAAATACTATTTATTTGCCAGAATTCCCTATGCTTCTGTTTTATAAATATTTACTTTTAGTTTCTTTACATTTTTCATGGAGAAAAAGTAAACTTGTGATGCAAGATAACAGGATTGCATTGAATATGCATTGGAACTCGTGTTCCATGGAAATTATTTTCCGCTTCTGCCTCAGGTCTGGACTTGGAATTTTGTAAGATGCTAGTATCTCTCTCTTTCTCATCTGACACCTAGTTCCAAGGGGTGGCCTGATGAGACTCTCAGGGTAGCTCTTGAACTGTTAAATCTGAGAGCTGATGCAAAGAGAAGGCATCTCAGCCGTGTTTCAACTTGTGCTTGTGTTTCTGGCTCTCTTCTAGCCAGAAAAGAGGAAAGGAGGTTTCAGACTGGTTTTCTTTCATGGCAGAGTGCAGCTCCAGACAATTTTCCAATCCCAGCTGAACTAGTGTTAAGGACTCTGCGTTCTGAAATAGAACATCTAATTAGAAACAGATTTTTTTTTTCCCATCTCTCCATGAGTCAGACAAAGATTTCAACAACACATAGACTGTTTCATATTAAATCACTGTTTACCACATCATCTGTTAATATAATAGCACCTACATGCTGTATTTAAAATTTAATTAGAGGTGGGCCACGTCAAAATCGTCACAAGAGATTGGATAACCGCACCCAGTGTACTGATACCAAAACATAATGCTTACCAGGGTTCCCATTTAAGTGACATTTTCATGAGACTTTTGGGAGGGATAGTCTTCATCTGCTTTAAAGACACGATAACTTGCATATGTAGCTTCCCTGATTGCTGCACTTACTGGTTGTGACACCACACAAACCTTCACCATCTTCCTATAGGAAATCTTTCAACGCTTCACAGTCACCTGTTTTATTATCTGTTGACTCAGTGGCTTTTCAAAACGTTGTTCAAGTTCAGAGTTTAGTGCATGGGTGTTTGGAATTGTGTTCTGAATTTCACCACCACCCCACTTCCAGATACTTCTGTCACTTATTTCGTGAGCACGTATAAAACTGAATGGTCTTATGCATTCGTGCACAAATTAAGATACACAGGTGGATGATACAAACTGAACGTAAATGCTTTAAAAAATCTCAAGTAAGTACCTCCATTCTTTCTGTTACAGTCTATTGTATCACACACGGCAATCCTGCAGCAGACAGGCACGAAAAATAGCGTTATTAAATACTTCTTGTGCTTTAACAGTTGTATCAGCATTTTTGTAACTGGACCAGTGAGCTATTAGTAAGATATAATGGCCTTACAAATTATGTGGTGCCATGGCTGAGTGTTTAGACTTTGAATGCGGGCCATAAAATCTGGTATTAAATACCTGAGAATATGGCTGGGAAATGTTTCCTTTCTTTCTTGGAAACAGTTTACTATCAATGTCACTACTACAAGGGAAATATAAAGGAAATATATTTCCTTTCCACTGACAATCCTTGAAGACTGGACTTCAGTCCAGCCTCTTAGTTATTTTTGTGAATTACTATACTGGGTATAATTTATTCTTAACACATAGGAAGCATGCACTAACGATTCAGTGTTTTTAAATTGTTTAGAAATTCCAAAGAATTTTGCAGAAGTCTTTTGTTAAGTCCTTCAGGAAACAAAATATTTTGAAAAACTTCTAAAAGTTCTCCAGGGTGTTTAACAATAGATTCCTTGGCTGCCTCTTGGAAGTGGGAGTAGGCAAAGCAGTGAAAGGAGAACATGCTAGTCATGGTTATATCTACAAAAAGCAGTTTGAGAAAGGATTGTGTCTTAGTTCTTGAATAACAAAGGAGCTAAGCTAAATCTGCTAGCTCAACAACGAGAAAGTTTACTTTACCAAAGCTGTAATGCAGCAGACATGGCTGTTAATGGATTGCGTTCATGTAACCAGAGAAATTAAACTTGCACTAATAATTCAGTATTTTAGAATGGAAATATTCATGTCACTTATGGCACTGTTATGCCAGTGTATATAGATACTTTAATTTATTTTCTTCAAAATACTCATGCAATGAAAGCCCAGCTTTCTAGCCTTGTTCTCTTTCTCACCCTGGAGAAAAGCAGATATTTGTCAAATATGGCAACTGCTAAAAAGAAGTTACTATAAACTGCATTGTGTTTTTGTTCCACAGATGAGAAGACACTCCTGCTTCGTTTTTTTGTTCTGTGGGATATTTTTGCCCAGAATCCTTGGTTTTCCACAGACGAATACCTCAATTGATTGTGATTCTCTGTTACCAAACTATCAGGCTGAACCACAGACAGCTGCACCACCATATCTTATTTCTGTATCTTTTGATAACTTTGAGCCAGGAAATGAAATCCAAGGTAAATAACCTGAATGACATAAAATCTTTATCTGTGCCTCCCTGAATTACCAATCTTTACCAAAATTCCCCCCTTCCCCTCTCAGTCTGGTTAAATTTATTTTTTAATTTCAAACTTGTTCACCTATACCTGAGATACTAATCTTTTTTGAAATGTTTTTTATATATGTATGTATATATTTGTATAACTGAAAATATATTCCCTCTTTTTTTTCTTTTCCCTAGCTAATAAATATCTTAACTTCATGCTATAATTTTTCTGACAAAATTAAAATTAAATGGGACAGCTGGCCAAACTGGACTAATAATTGGTTGCTCTTTAACTTTGTATTTGAGTATTTGCTGTTGTATCAGGCCTCTGCAATACAAAGGGATCTTACTCATTAGACGTTCACATGCTGTCATCTTACAGGAAAATAAAAATTCAGGATGCAGTATAAGACAACTCAAGAGTGAGACATTTTGAGTCACCCTTCTAAGAGCTGCATCCCAGATTTTATCAAATTGCAGGAGGTGGAGCTATTGTGGCTTAAACCACCTTTTTATTTTCCTAATCCCAAATTGCTCTCTGGATGGAACACCTTGACAGCCTTGTTTCTCCACACTATGATGCCATCTCATGGTGCTGTCATGCTTTAAGTGGCTTGTGAACGCTTCTTTTTCTAGCCATTTGCTAGAAGAAGCATGGAAATTAGTTGTAACCCATCACATGTCCGTTGTTCTCAGTAGCTGAAAAAGAACATTGTTCACTAAGTAGCTACTGTCCAGCTGGGATTCTGTTTTACCTGAACCTAGTAGCATGGATGCGCTTCCACAGAGAGTGATATGTAGGGAGAAGAACGGAGAAGTGTCAGAGTCCTGTTATAGCTGCCCTTCTTGGAAAAACGTGTGTGAATAGCTCCTTCAGGGATGGGAGGGCTGTTTGATTATTGAGCGCTATTTTTAAAACAGTATTGCCAACAAAGTGATGGATGCATTTAAGTATATGCAGACTGGTCTGTGAGGTTATATGGGATTTACCATGACAAAAATATTGAATCCCAGATGCTACTAACCTTGCCTCTTTTTTAATTTCCCCTCCCCCCTTTTTTTTTTCCATCTATTCTTTTCTTGCTTTAGCTCTATTTTTCTCTTGCTTCAGATTGTAAGCATGCAGTACCTGGGCTCAAGTTGCTGCATTAGGTTGCCCTTGAGTATATTGTAGTTCTACCTGTGGCACACCATGTGCCAACACTCACATCTGTGCTTGGTTTAATGCTGCATTCAAGTGTGGGATGTCATCCCTCCTGTGAGATCTGTGAAAATTTAGTGAATTAGGACTGAAAGTTGATGACAAATTGGAAGGCTAATTATGCAGGTGTTTGGAAATTTTAAATTGTCAAGGTATGATTGGTCCTTGCCTTGACTTCTCTGTCATCTGTCCTGACAGTTTATCTGTCCTTATTTTTAATGACTGCACATAAGGGCATAAACCCTTATTCTGATCTTATTTTCAAAAGTGCTTAATATTGGCGTTAGCAGAGCAAGTTTATAATAGATCATAACAAATTTGATTATGCCTCCTGAAATTTAACTTCAACAGGGATATACACAAAACATGTAACTGCTCTCTTCCATTTTTTTCTGAGCTCCTTCAATAACAAATTTTGAGTAAAATTGAGTAGTTTTTAATTATTCATTTTTCATATTTAATAGAGAATATGAGAGCCAAACTGTCTAGCTTCTCTTTTCCCAGTTGTAACACATAAAAAAAAAAAAAAGGTGTTGCGATACAGCCTCAGGCAAAAGTTAATCTTCTCTTTTGAAACAGAGGTAGAAAGAAATGCAATTCTCTTTCTCCTGTAGCTATTTTGACTTTGTAGGCCTAATTAGACAGAAAATAAATAACCTTTTGGGCAACAGGGCCATTGGCCAATATTCTGAGTATGCATGGGGAGCAAATGAGATTAATAAGAATGTTGTAGTCATATGGTAGAGCAGAATTACTTTTTAAATTGTAAGTCATATATTCCATGTTACTTTACACAGAAATGCCTCTCCAAATTTATTCTTTTTCCTTTATTGTCATTCTCGTCATGATTAATAAAAACTGTAATAAACCCCAACGTTTTTAAAAATTGTAAAAGGTTTTGAAGTGTTTCTGGACATACAGTCTTGTGCTTTGGATTGAGGGTAATTAGTTGTTAAACACTTGAAGGTTTTAGTTGTGTATGAAACTTAAATTTCTCAAAATGTCTGTTTTCACAGTGACTCTAGAAGCACTTAAAGATGCTAATTTTAAAGGATTTATTCTACAAGCTCGAGAATTAGAAGGAGATACTCCTGTTGGTACTTTTAAAATTACAGATCCAAACACTAAAGTCTTGGAATGTCATAACATGACGGTATGTGTTCAATCTTTGGAATATTTAATTAAGCTTGATTTCCTTTTAAATACTTTAACCAGAATTGATAGAAGAAGTGAGCATTTTTATATGGCAAAGTTATTTCATCAGCAGAGTTTAAAAATTCAGACTTTCTCAAGAAATACATTTATCTTCTATATGTGATATGAATGTAATGTAGAAGCTACCTGGCACTTTTTAGGAGGACATCATTGTTACCTGTTGTAATAGACAGTTCCCCCAATAATACAGGTAAAAGTCACTTTTGCATCTTATATAATTTTATGTATTTCTTTTTAATTGCAGAATTCATCACTAGGTCATGCAAATTCAGATGTGAAGCAGAAAGTTACAACAACATGGATTGCTCCACGTGATGTTAGAGATCTTCAATTTATGTAAATAACTAATAATTTTCCTTGAAATTTTATTTCTATGGATTATTTTGACATGGATCTGTGTTGCTGTTTCTGATGTTCCTGTCTTGCCACAATCGTGGGTTTTTTCATAGTTTGTCATAACTTCCCACTGTGTCCATTAAATAACATAATTTCCATTTCAAGATATAATTATACAAGGTAAAGACTGTCCTACAGATGTTAATATTTGTAAATAATTCAATTAAGCACAGTGTTATAAACTGATTACTCAAAGATCCATTAATACACTTTGACCTTTTTAATTACAAGAGCAACAATATGAATGTAACTAGTTTCCTGAATAAGTGAAGTTCAGACTCTATTCAATTATAATTTTTTTTCATTTTGAACAGTGGAAAAATAGCAGTTTGACGTAAATGCTTGTAAGATAAATTTAAAAATAAGTTTACAACCCATGAAGTAACTGCTGACAGATGGAAGAAAACAAATTTATCCTGCATTTAATGCTACTTTTCTTGCAGATCTGAAGTTTGTAAAAATACCACTTGGTCTAACAAAATGCATGCTTGATGTAATTGGAAAATATTTGATAGCTTCCTACTGTTTGAAGTGTAGGTTTATGACAGGGCCATCTTGGCCTTGCTTCATTAAATCTTGAGGAATATAAAAAGGGGCAGAAGAACACAAATTAAAAACATGATCTCTTCCACTAGTTAATGCCATGAGAATTGGTTCACCATCATAGATATAAATTGTCAGAGTGGGGAAGAGATGTGACAATTTTTATGGACATTTGAGCTGATACTCCCCACCGGAGTCAGTGCTTCTTCAAATAGTGTCCATTCCTCTTCTGCTCCTTCTAAGCTTCTATTTTATTTATCTTCAAAATTATGTTGGATGATAATACAGTAATGGAAAAGTGTTCTGGAAGATTATTTTCTTTTCAAACTTTTACCGCATACCCTTAAAATCAAAATAGAGTGGATTTTCTTGGCTGGGGGCAGGGAGGAGAGATTATTAGTATTTTATACTGAAAGATTTGGATAGAAAAAGAATAATTTGTTTGCTTGTTTTATTTCCAGTGCAACTGTTGTTCAAGATCTAGAGAAATTTTGGGTTGGAATTCAAAGCAAAACTCTCACGCCTACACATTCTGAGTCAGTTAATGGGACAGGAAAAAGTAAAAGGAAGGTATGTTTTGAGTGTATTTGCATACTAGAAATTAATAAAGTAAATTAAAATATCTTTGACTTGATACAAGACATATACTCATTGTCACATATTCATAACTAAGATGGCAAAATCATTAGATATTTTCAACAGTTTTAATTTAACTGCCTAATGCTATTACTAAATTGATGAAAAACTAAAATGAATATTATTCCCCCCCCCTCCCCCCCCCAGAAATAAGGAGACTAATAATCTAGTTGTCAAAGCAATCCATAGCATAAAGACAAAGAAAAGAAAAGCATGAAGACAAAGAAAGAAATCTCATCATAAGGACAACTCTACTGTGCTTCTGGTGTACTGTGCTGTTCTTAACTGCTGCCCCAGTCCCTGGGAACTACAGCTGTGCAGCATATCCTTAGAAATTACTTTGTTTATTTTTTGGCCAAGAATTATGCTTTTATGAAACATCTTGAACACAATTGGCAGCTAAAGTAAAGAAAGTCTGTTCAAATCTCCCATATTGGTTCTCAACTGTAGCAGCACTGATTTATGTCATCTTGCAATCTAACCAAGAGTGAACACCCGCCTTTTGTCCCTCACTTCACCAAATGTATTTCCTGTTTCCTATAATAAGCTGCTTTTTTTTTCCCAGTAAATAATTTGTAAATGTTTCCTCTCTTTTTTTCACAGTTTATGATAGAACTAGAATGTAACAAGGTAAGAGCAATTTTTCTTTAATTTCCCAATTTTCAGTTACTTCAGTTTCCTGTCCTACTGGTCCAGTTGTTTCATGCTTGTGGCATGCAGTTTATATCATACCATTCAAATTACTTTCCTAGCAAGATCTCATTTTTGTTTACATTTTTTATGCAGTTCTGAAAGTATTTTTAATCAGTTAACATCAATTCTCAGATCAGATTGTTACAAAATTGACTTCTTCACTCACACCATGAATGTGAATTCAGTTGATTTCCTGTTTAAAATGATTTGGTATTTATAGACCAGTCAATTATCAGTAACTGGAACTTGTACTTTCTTACAGCGTGGAGGGACTTACACAAGACAAGGTGGATGTGTCCTGGTAAGTATTCTTTCTCCAAAGACATTGACGTACAGCTAATTGCCCAAGATCTCATGACCTAGTCAAAAGTGGCTTCTAGTCACATCTTTCTCTCTCTTGTCTCTCAATTTATTTTTATTTTTGGCAATGTACCTTGGTTGATTAAAATCCCAAACTTTCTAAATGGTTGTCAGCCTTGTTACCATTTCCTCCTGCAGATTCTCTCTAGCTAATGTGGAGTAACATTCTGATAGTTTCCTTTTTTCTGTCTTCACTTTTTAGTCCTAGTGCTTCCTTGCTTTTCAAGATCACTAATTTCAGCAGCTCTGAAACTTTGCTTTTTGCAGATCATGATCTACATATAAAATGTAACTATTTGATTTTTTTTTTCCTGAAAACTCACTTTCAGCTCAGTGAAGAAGCCTCTTTTTGTTCTTTCCTTTCTCCAGCAAATATGCCCTACATTTCATAGTGTCTAGTGACTACATAGTCATTACAGTAAAAAGTTTTAATCCACTTTTTACTGATCTTGACAGTGTAGGTCTTCTCCTCAATGATGGTCATCAAGTGTATGAGACCAGATAAAACAGGGTGCAAGCAACAGAATTATGTTAATTTATACCATCTAGTTTGGTGTAGTTTAAAGACCTCTTTAAAGATATCTGAAATAATTTTAATAGTATCAGTTGATGGCATGAGGTCACAGAAAACTACTTTGTGTGTTCTTCCTCTTCCCACCAAGTAGATCTTTCTTTCCTGAAAATCATTTATATAAAAATCAATTTTCTGCCAAATAATAAATAAGCATCATGGCTTCTTTACAGGTTGGACCTTCTGGTTCCTCTCAGAGCAGCTATTCAGGAAGTCAGGTAAATGTCGTGTCCATTTTCCTTTAGTAACCTTGAACAACTAAAATTCTGTAACTACAGAGTACTGAGGTGTTTTAATACTGTACTGAAATATTATCTCTGCTGGTTAATGCTGAATGCCAGAGTTATTCATCCAGTTAACTGTATGTTCAGTACGTGGACTAGGTTCAACTACCTACACTCTGTTGAACTCAATACCTTGATGCCAGTATTCTTACTTACAAGATGCTTCACCACCTCTGACCTCACACATTAAGCATTTTTATCAAGCACTAACTTGACCCTTTTGGGGAAAAAAAAAGATTCCTTCCATCTTCCTAGAGGATTCCTACCTGCATGTGCATGCAAACGCAGTCACAAACCATTTATTTCAAACTATAGTTTGAGAGACATCTGGCATAATGAAAATGAAACTGTACTTATTGAATTGTTAGGCATTTTTCTTATTTCTTTTTCTTTGATGATCAAAATAAAAGGACTAATTATATTTGTGTTTCACTGTCTTCTCCACAAAAATTTGCAAAATTCACCAGATATTCATGCATATATTAATGCTCCAGCGTAATGTGTGTGTCACTTTTAACACTGGATTATATTTGCAGTTGAAAATGTGGGGATTTCACAGTTTAGTTAGCCTTTTAAAACTTCTGGGGTATGTATGCCTGCATTCTCACTGATCATTTTCACTTCTTTAATCACAGAAATGTATACTTGGTTTTTAGTTAATTATCTCCACTACCGTAATGTGCCTATTAGCACTTGAACTGTCAGGTGCTTTCCAGTATGTCTCCAGTTTCTTGAACTGAGCTTACTTATTCTTACTTGTTTCTTACTACTTACTAGTGATTACATTTATTAGTGAATTATCTGGTAATATTGACACCAAATTATTAGCATGCATCAAAATAATTGGTATTTCTCAAAATCTGGTAATTCCACTTACAAGTAGTGAAGATTGAACAAGTGGAATATTACCAGATGACTCACAAATAAATATAATCACTAGTAAGTAGCAAGAGTACTGTAACTATATAGTTAATATATTTTTCTAAACTATAGACCATTTAGTAAAACAACTTATAGATTTTGAAAGGTTCCGTGACCAATGACGAAGTTATATGAAATGCAGATGATGACAAATGTCTCATACTAAATTAGAATTGTTACAGCCAGTTCCCAGTGAACTGGTGAGCTCTGTACTTGCTTATCCCATTTCTGCACATCCACGTTGTCAGCTGCACAGCTTTTCATGCCATAAACAGCAGGGCTTTTTTTTTTTTCTTTCTGCCCCCCCCCCCCCTTTTACATGGAAATAATTGACTTCTCTTTTTATTTCAGAGTGGAGTAGTCTACACAATAAGCAAGAGTGGATGTGGCCCTGTAAGCACTTTTCTTATGTTTACTTTTTTGCCCCCAACATAACTATATTTGTAGTAACTCCTAGCCTTCAGTTGCATTATTTATGTGAGTGTTCACGTGGGAGTTTCTGTTGCAGATAGAAAATAATGAGAGAGCTAGAACACGAATATTACAGTTTATGCAAAGATATGAAGTAGTTGGCAGACAGAGATGTTAAAAAGTTAAATAGAAACAGAGATTATAGAACCATGAAAAAAAAGACTGGAAGGGGTGATCTGTCACACTTGCATTACACTCATTATACTAATTGCCTGTTCTCTCTTTTTACCCAAGAGAAGACTGGTGCAAATTGATCGATTTGTTCTGAGTTGTTCCTCCTCTCAGGAGTAATCACAGAGATATCTACAATAACTAAGGCTATTTCAGTTTTTCACTCTTTCAGGCAGCAGGGATAATTGTGAAGTTATGAATCCTAGGCAGGTCAAGCCAGGCATCCAGAAATAGGTGAATGATGCGAGAGTGCTCTAATGCGGTGCTGAATAGACCAAAAACTTAGCTGAAGCATTTTTATCAAGATGGGGACTAATTGCATGGACTAAAGCATTTACAGATTTATGTCAAATACATATAATTACTTTGGTTTCCTTTCAGCATTTACAAGATTTTTATTTCTTAATAAAAAGTTACTATGTTCAAACATTTACTCAATATAAAAAATGATAAAAAAACTTGAAAGGTAAATAAAACAGTCAAGTTTACTCTTTCTATGTCAATGACAGGTTTTGTGCTTGTTTTTTTGTAGTATAGCAAGTAAATAAAAATAAGCCAGTCGTGTAGTTCTATCACTAAGCGCTATCAGTTGCCACTTCAAGCTAGAAAAATGAGGATGACTCAGCACCAACAAGGACAATGTTTCCAAAAATGTAAAACATTCGTGTCATCAGTACTTTTAAAATGTAAAACTCCTCACAACGTGCATTGAGTTTTTGCAAAAAACAACAAAATTACAGTTTTGGGGGAGACTATTGTTTGTATTAATAATAAGAAGTGAGATTTACTTTAATAAAGGAGCTATTAGTGTTTATGCTGGACCTTGATATTTTATATTTGATTGACTGTGAATCAGGAAGGTGTTAATTTTTGTTTCTTTCCAGTTTCCACTTCCTAATTTTAACATATATGTGTATGTACGTATTACATACATAATACGTTTCAATGACAAGAATTATGTTAAATCTTTATAATTTATTTGTATTAAAATAATGTCTTGACAGTGTCCGTTTTAAAACGGTTCCTGAGAACCACTAGATAATCACTAATATACAAAGGACTAACGTGCCTGGCTCTTAGCTCCATTCACACATGACTGTTCATGCATGAATAGTGGGGAGTACAATATTCTCCTTATCATCTATTCTTTACATACTCCATGTAAGGATCAGTCAGAATTGAGGGTGTCTGAAGTGTGCCTTTTGTTCTTAAGCAATTACAGAAGAGAAATAACTGGGTTCATTTTTTTTTTCTTAGGGAGGTGCTGCTAATGTATACAGTCAACACGCCTGTAGAGATGTAAGCTGGCTATATATGTATTTCCTGATTGTCTACTACTATGCTCCTTAACTCATCTCCTTATTGCAAATTGCATTTCATTCTCTTCTGCAGAGCTGTATTATTCTTCCTAAATATATTAAGGAACATGGTGGTAGCCTGAGGTATTCTGAGATTAAAAACAAAAATGAAAAGGTGTTACATTATCACTTCCTCAAAGTGTAATCATTTATGTTGTAGGGGCTACTCATTACCTATTAGAAGTGCATCATTTGTTAGCTTACTAAAATGTCAGAATTCTTACTGAATAATGCTTTTTATCTGTTAGAGTCTGTTACCGTCTTTGGATATTGCGTATTGTGCAATATTGTTTGGGGTTTTTTACAATCTTTGTGTATTAATCCAATAATTATTTGACAATAGAAATTTCTCTACTAATTAATCTCATGTATTTCCTTTTCACCTGAAAACAGATTTATTTTGAAATAGAACATATTTTCCATTTTTAAAATCACAAAAGCAAGTAAAAAAAATCTATCAGACAGACAACACACTCTCTAATTCCTGTTAGGAACTGAAACCCTAGCCAAAAAACTGCTTAATCATATGCTTAACTTTAAATAAGTCATTAGTTATATTAATTCCTAAATATTAAATATATTTTACCTTTGATTAATTTTTAAGTGTAACCTATATTTGTAATAGTCATATGAATAATGTTGCTTACAGTAGAGTGTTCGAAAAATTTTACTTCAGTTATCTCTAAGCAAGTTCAGTATACTTTACTATTGCCCTAGGTTTATTTAAGTATAGATGAGGTCAGTTTGATTTGAAGCGTACATCCTTTAAGGAAAGCAGTGATGACTTCTAGATATCGTTAACAAATCATTATATAAATAAATACCTGATCCATGGTTTTATTTCAGAGTGCATCCTCATCCGGCAGTGGTCTTACCTATGGCCAGGTAGCTATGTGCTTTCCAACATGTTTTCCATTTCCTACGCTATTCAGAAACTAAGTAGTTACGCCCAACTTTTACCAAACAATAATAAAGTTCATGGAAGGGGATAAAGGAGGACTGTCTTCAAATGGTTAAGTAATAATTATATCTGGAAATAGCGTCAACAGATGAGTTACATGTTTAGTTCCTGTTGTAATATCAACTTTGTTAGAAACTACTTACTTCTGTTTGGCACAGAAACTCAATGATATTTATTCTGTAAATGAACACCAGTTGCTCTTATTACGATTTTCCAAAAGTCAGTGCTTCCTTTGATAGTGACTAAGAATTAAAAGTATTTTTTGTGGCCTTTGCCTTTGCAATTGTACATATGGGTTGATGAAATGGAAAACTTTGCTGCATGTTATTTTATGCTTCATTTAAAACATTTGTATTCTTATGGTGCATCCCATTTATTCCAGTTTATATTTCAATGGTAGGTTTTTTAATTTTGGAGGGAACGGGTTCTGGAGTTTGTGTTGGTTTCTTTTTTGATGAAGGTAGAAGAGATTTTTATTTTTCTACCAATAGATTATTTTTGTTAAAAACAAACTTCCAATTTGATGTTAGATGAAGCAGTTGCAGCTTTTATACAGTGCTGTGTAAAACTAGCAAAATAATTGGGGTTTGTAGAAAAAATATAAACTGGTTGATTTATTTCAGTTCATTTATTAATTACCAATATATTAATACTTCAGAACCTTATTTTGTTTGGTACTTTAGGGAAATGATGTTAGCTGTAGCATTCTTGTGGAAAATAGTGCTGTAGTTAATCTGTCATACACTTACCTAAGCAAAAAATGGATTCTGTGTTCTTTACAGTCCATGCCTTCAAGCAGTTCCGCTTCCAGCAAGAAGGTGAGCACTCCCTTTCATTTCAAAGTGAAAACTGCAGTTCCTTTTGCCAGTTAGGACTTTTCAAGGTTTTAACCCAGATTGATTTATATGATTTGAATCAGTTTGGTTCTGAGATGCCTTATACTAACTAGTTGTGCTGCAGTGGCTGTGGTTGATAGTTGACTTAACTGTATATAAAATAAAATTTCATACATGATTATGGGCATTTGTTTTTAAAAAGTTACAATAGGGATTGTGATGTAATTAGGACTTTTACGGATGTAGGTTATGTAATTATTATTCAGATGGGGCTGGAGAATGAGTGTGACTAAAAGCAAGTGAAATCAATAGAATTCATACTACTGTTGAATTTGACTCATAATATTCACATGGGCTCTTCCTCTCAGTTCAGTCTCCAGGAAGCTCAGGGCTGATATTACGGTGTGTTCAGTACCAGCGTACCCATTCTTGTCTTCAGGTTTTTTTTTTTCATTTTAGTTTCCCATTGTTTTAAGAATTCAAAATATACTGATAATTTGTTTAATAACTTAGTTTTAAAAACGTAATGCTTCTCCTGTTTCATACTAGAATTCTTTACTTCTGTTAGCACCAACTCTCCTCTTCCTTTTTATACCACTAGATAATACAAACTGGGGGGGAGGGAGCTTCTAATTAGAAAACATTAAAACCTAAACAGAAGATGCTACTATCGCATTTGGCTTATTTTTTTTGAACTCAATATTAAGCCCTTTTTTTAGAATAATACTAAATAAAGAGAAAAGAAATTGATCTTCCAGTTTTGGGTGGAAAGTTAAAGATCAAAAAGACACATGGTAGAGGCCAGTGGATATGGTGCAATACATTAAATCCTGCAGTAAATCTACATTGAATCTACAGCTGAGTCATTGTGTGACTGGGAGCAAGTCTTTTGTCTCCTTATACTCTTGTGTAAGCCATGTATACTTATATATTCTTCTTTGCTTGATAATACGCATTAAAAAATCTTCTAAAAATAGTATTTTATAAAAGTGATCATACATAGCATTATTATCAGAGTTTGTATATTTAGAGAATCCAGTATTCTTCGTTTTCCTAACATATTTAACTAAACAAACTCTATGATGAGTAAACAGCTTTCTCTGATTTCTCTATAGGTAGTGGTCATATCCAACAACGAACCTTTTCCACCTGTGGTAAGCTATTTTTCTCTACAATGCTTGGAATTTTGACTCAAAAAGCTTTCAAATATCTACATGCTTAATTTGTCAGAAAGGTCTCATCAACACATGCAAATATCTCAAGAGTGGGGGTCACAAGGACGGAGCCAGACTCTTCTCAGTGGTGCCCAGCACCAGGACAAGGGGCAATGGGCACAAACTGAAGCATAAAAGGTTCCAGTTGAACGTGAGGAAGAACTTGTTGACTTTGAGGGAGCCCAAGCCCTGGCCCAGGCTGCCCAGGGGGGCTGTGGAGTCTCCTCTGGAGATATTCAAAGCCCACCTGGACAATGTCCTGTGCAACCTGCTCTAGGTGAACCTGCTTTAGCAGGAAGGTTGGACTAGATGATCTCCCAAGGTCCCTTCGAACCTTTGCCATTCTGGGATTCTGTGATCCAGTGATTCTGTAATTCCAGGTGTATGGAGACAACTCTCTGTCTTCAGGGAAAGGCAGTAGTAAGATAGCCCCAGGTCTCGTGGTCCTATGCTTGCTATTAGTACTTGCAGAGATACTGGATTAGCTGCAGATTCCAGGTCTCTCGATGCATACAATGCATGTGATCCTGAATAGTTTTGATATTCTGTTTCTATTGCAATTCTCTTGTAAATTCATTTCCATTCTCATTTTTGAACTACTAAATTTCCACTCTGCTTACTTGGAATTCGTAGTTGAAAGTTTAGCCTTCAGGTGGTTAAAGTGAGTTTGTATGACATAACATTTGATATATATGTTTCTCTGATGTCTAGTTTCTAATCAAACATGAATGAAGATTAAGATGCGTTTGTTCTGTGCTATCCTTTCCATATTTTTATTTCACATTTGATTGTGTATTGCATCAAAAGATGCTGCAATATTCTGTTTGGAGAAGCCCTTGTGCGAAATAATTAGAGTTTGTTGTGTTTCATTTGCAGCGTCATACCTACCCCCAGGTAAGCATACTTCTTTCTTATGTTTTCTATAATAGTAATACAGTTCTTATGGGATCAAACCAGTTGCCTCAGGATGGTGTCTGCTACCCTTTTACATTTGTCCCTCATGCCCCACAATTCAGCAAACAAATGACTGGATCAAGAATTGACTTCGTATGTGTGGTTATATATGTCCAATGCAGGTGACAGTGAGACAGGTTGGAGGGATGATGATATCTTAGCTTCGCTCACCACATTTGGAAAAGCTGAGCTGACTGGTGGTGCAAAAAGGGCATAGCCTGTGCTCTGCTGCTCTCCACGTAAGCTGTAAGGGAAGCAGATGCAAGTGTAGAAAATTACTTAGTAAGGTCAGGCTGCCTCCCGAAACTTTCAGAGCTGAGGATAAATTAGTTTAATGCTGGGTGTTAAGAATTTGATACTCAGTATATCACATGTACGGCCTTTCTCTTTATTCTCCCAAACAAAATAGTACAACTTGGTATTTTCCATTTAACTGCATTGCATCTAAATAAGTAAAATTAAATGTTCTCTGTGTTCTTTGTTTTTTTTTTTTTTCAGAGTTTGGGAAGTTCTGCTACTAGAGTCGTAATACAGGTAGACTTTCTTTCTCCATTATACCTGAGTTTTAACCTAAGCCCTGTCTCAGTAAACTAAACAATGATTCATCTCTTTTGGAATAAATAAGTATGGATAACTTACAGATATCTTGGATATCCACAAAAACAGTGGTGGAGCAGGGTGTTTCTGTAGTTACAGTAAAGTGGGTGTCCTACTTAGTTGCTGAGTAAAGACCACTGCTGCTGTTTTCTACAGTCATAAAATATGAAAACCTCTGTATGCTAATTCCATAGTGCTCTCAAAGTTTGTGAAATTTAACCATCTCAGTCTGCTCAGGAAGGCAGATGGAATTCTAGAACTTAAGATTTAATGTTATTTTATATTAAATCAAATATGCATAAATCATAAGTTGCGCAGTTCCATGTTGATTTAAAGAGTCTATTTTTTTAATGGAAACAACTAGTTCAGCATTCCATTTTTTAAAGTCCTGCTATTTAGTGCTTAGGCAAAACATTCCTTCTTGGAATACTTGTAAAATATTATGGATATCACTCAGGCATATTTTTTCTGGGTCCTTTGTCATTTTAACCTACCTACTACTCTTCAAGGTTTAGGCTTTTCTTCCTTCATATGATAGTCCTTCAGAATGTGACAACAAATTCTCACTTCCATTGAAAGAACAGTAGCAGGTTACCCCAGCTGGGATTTGTCTTTTCATGATCCTTAGATTATAGCATTAGGTTCTTCCATAAGTAGTGATGAATGCTGGCAGAGAAAGGAATAAGATTTCCTTGTTATTTTATTTCTGAATTTAAATCTATAATGCTTTAATTACACAGGTTAAATATTTTCAATGTATGTATATAAATAGAACTGAAGAATATTTGGTTACTCTCATAATCTACGTACTTCATGGGAATTAAAAGATTTTCTGCAATGACTTTTCCTTTGGTTAAATTGTAACTGACTTTTCCAATTTTTGTTTTGACAAAGACTTTTTCATGAATAAGCACAACAAACTTTTGATTTTCTATGAAAATCAGCCATAGTATGAGTATAACGGGGTATGAGTTTAAAGGCAATTTGTGTGACAGATTTGAAGGGCAGCATTATTTAAACTCACTTGAAATACCACAATATGACACAACGATACATCATATGATGATTTTTCATTAAGAAAATGGCATTGAGATGTATAAATACTTTTAGCACTTAATTTATGAAGGATCTTTATATACTGAAGTATTGAATATTGTAGCGCATGGAGATGACATAAATAAACTAAGAAAGGGCATAAAAGAACTCCTTCTGGCTTTCAAACTGATGGAGTTTTTTAAAAGGATAGAGTTGCTTCTTGAAATGTCTTAGTATGTAAGCAATTCCTCTTAAAAATAAATAACCATTTTCTTGTTCCTGTGTAGAGTGGTGGACAAAGACAGCAAAGCAGCAGCGGCAGCACTATTTACGTTCAGGTAAGTGAACTTAAAAAGTACTGTAGACTTCACTAAAACAGGGCCGGCACAACTTGGAAATAAATTACTTCCTACATTTTTAAATGTATTTCACAGGGTGCAGATATTTCTATTTTTCTGATTTTTGTTCATTAAATTGTCATCTGGTGTTGGTGTTTAACTATCATTGTTTGGAATGCTCATAAATGTATTTCCATGTGTGATTGGATGAAGTGAAATGACTGTATTCCACTCAACGTGTCCTCTAAAAGGTGCACAAAAGCCACGGCACAGGGAGGAAGTGACTCTAGCATCAGTATCACACCATAAATCCCATACTGGTAGATTCAGACCCCATGTATATTAGATCACAAATTTCCAGAAGCTATGAAGGATAGTTGCTTGTCCATATCAAGAACAATGAAGAATCATAACTCGGAACTATGTGCAATGTCTTTCAGCCTTAATTAAAGCCATGCAAATAAAGCTACTTCTGTGAAAAACAAGTGTGTATATTTAACAAATACCAACATAATGATAACATAAATTGTTGAGAATATTCGTAGTATAAACTCAAGTATGAAAGCTCTTCAGAATTCCTCCTCTTTACAAGGAAAAAAGGCAAATGTCTGTCAATATTCTCTGTACATGCAAACAGGAAAATGTCTCACAAGGGTAGGTATGACTTTTAGAGATCAAGGCCACAGGGAGGAAAGTATTCAACATGACAAGTACTCAACATGCACAAGGTTGGCAGTCTGCATCTCAATTCGATTCCTGGCTTTTGCGGAGAATAGGACAATCTGCTGCACAGATGCTAGCATAGTGCTCTGTCCCCTCTGGCCCAGGGAAGAGCCTTCCTGGGAAACACTTGTGCAGCTCTATTTCCATTAACATTGTGCTCTTTACAGAAGCCTCCTTCTCAAGGTGGTAATTCTCTTCTTTGTTTTACAGGGTTCCCAAGGCAGCCAGTCCTATGGCCAGGTGAGACCTTTTTTGCTGACATGTACTGAGCTTTTCCCTAGGGGCCTGCCTTGTAAGTGGACTTTGGGGGTTGGTTGGGGTTTTTTCCTTCTTGGTGTTGCTGAGTGGTCCTTGATTTTGCTTTGCACCACTGAGTTACCGTGAAGGAAGAAGAACCTAGTACAGAAGAACTTTTAGTGGAAATGGGCTTTTCTGTCACAGCTGTGCTGAGACAATGGCTTTGTTTTCAAATGAGCTCTTGCCTTTCTCACAGAGCTACCAGCCTCAAGGTGGCAGTTCCTATGGCCAGGTAAGCATCAGTCAGTAACAGCATTTGAGAAAGCGCAGGGCGATGGTACCACAAATGAGAGTAGACTCTAAAGTATATTTTTTTTCCGTTTATGTTGAGTTCTTAAAAAAAAATATTCTCTGAATGCATTTCAAAACTTCTGTTGTGAAAATGACAGCTGTGTTTTTAATGGATATCTGCAGGAAGCATGGGTTTCTGTCACTAACTGATGTTTTCCGTGGGCATGGAACTTTAGAATTTATGTTAGCAACAGTCTATTTGGTGCTGTTCCTGTTCTAGTTGATTTACATGGCCCAAGACAAATTTATAGTCAGTTCTTTGCTGTCTCCTTTGGTCTCAGTACGGAGGAACAGTGTTGAGGAGCTCAAGAACACTGGGTGAGGCCCTCAGCTGCAGGAAGATTTGGCTTTAGCCCACTGCTGATGAATGTTTACCGCCCTTTACAGTTTGTACGTGAATTAAGGCAGCCCTAAGATAGGTACGGGTTTTGTAGGGACATTTGTGTCAGCCAGCAGAAACAGACAAGGTAGTTCAAATCCTTTTTGGTAATCCCTGTCTTCATAACTCTCCCAGACAGCTGTGGCACTGGTCTGCATGTACGTGAAACATCTGCTCTTTTTTGACCCTCTATTGAAGGCACGTGGCGTCAGAAGCTTACAGTTACCCACAGCATCTATAGTACTGAAAGTTTTTCAAAAGTACTGGCCTCCTTGACTAGTTCATTTGACCCGCTACTTTTAATTGCATTGGCTTGTTTCCATTTTATGAATTCATACTCTTTTCTAGGACTATTTCTTCACTTTTTTTCAAATGATTTTTCACTTTTTTTTTTCTCCTCTGAGGAAGGGAATTATGCAGCTGAGGCCCACCAAAAATACAAATATAGGAAGTCAGGACTCATCTACCTTTTGCCAGCTACGCCCCGATTCTGAGAAACAGCAGGCAAAAGAAGCAAAATATGAAAATATTGTGCCCCTTCCATCTCCTGGGAAACCTTCAAAAGACTATTGTCCCGTCCAAGATGGATGTAGAATTACCCTATGATTGTCCTTTGATAAATACAACGTGATCAGATATTGATCTGGAATAAGAAATATCAAAGTAATCCTCATTAAGCAGCAGAGTCTGCACATTCTCTGTCCTATTCTGGGGTGGTTTTCCGCCCAAAGTGACAAGCATGAGAGAGGCATCTGCTTCACAAATACAATAATTCTGAATCAATAATTCCTTTCTTGCAGAGCTACCAGCCTCAAGGTGGCAGTTCCTATGGCCAGGTAAGCATCAGTCAGTCACCAGCCAGAATAAGGCGTTTGAGAAAGTGGCGTGCCGTGGCACTGCAAAAGCAGCTAGCCATCGTGGAGAATATGAATTTCAAAGGGCATTTTCTCTGAAAGTGTATGTTCTCACACTCAAAATTTGTCCACATGCTACTTCTTTATCTGGAATCCCCAGCGTGTGAAATCCTTGCTCTCAGCATCATTGAGGGCCAGGGGGAAGTCCGGGCCGTTTGTACTGCCCTGCATAGCTTTAGGATGTAGTTGCTTGCTTGTCCTAATGCAGGCTGGATCCCTGACAAAAGGGAGGTAATCAAATGCTGTCTTGCCTTAGGGTGGAGGAACCTATCTGGGCGGCAGCAGTGGTTCTTACGGCCAGGTAAGCCAACTGGATATTCTGCAGGAAGATCTTCACCGGTCTCCCTGTGACCAGCACGACTGGCAGATTTTTGAGAGTGATGTTTCCTTTGGTAGTCTGCGTCTCAATTTGATTCCTGGCTTTTGCGGAGAATAGGACAATCTGCTGCACAGATGCTAGCGTAGTGCTCTGTCCCCTCTGGCTCAGGAAAGAGCCTTCCTGGGAAACGCTTGTGCAGCTCTATTTCCATTAACATTATGCTCTTTACAGAAGCCTCCTTCTCAAGGTGGTAATTCTCTTCTTTGTTTTACAGGGTTCCCAAGGCAGCCAGTCCTATGGCCAGGTGAGACCTTTTTTGCTGACATGTACTGAGCTTTTCCCTAGGGGCCTGCCTTGTAAGTGGACTTTGGGGGTTGGTTGGGGTTTTTTCCTTCTTGGTGTTGCTGAGTGGTCCTTGATTTTGCTTTGCACCACTGAGTTACCGTGAAGGAAGAAGAACCTAGTACAGAAGAACTTTTAGTGGAAATGGGCTTTTCTGTCACAGCTGTGCTGAGACAATGGCTTTGTTTTCAAATGAGCTCTTGCCTTTCTCACAGAGCTACCAGCCTCAAGGTGGCAGTTCCTATGGCCAGGTAAGCATCAGTCAGTCACCACTCAGCATACAACATGTATGTGATGTTTCCATATATGTATTGAGAATGTTGTGGTTTCTTTATTGAAATAATACAGTAAATTCTCATTAGAAGTAAGACTAGTGAACATTTTTTCATATGGGTCTGGGAACAGTAGGCTCACTGAAATAGCTCTTTCCTACATAGAAAGAGTATGTGTAGGTGTCAGCTTTTTGATCCACTATAATACTCAACATACGCAATACTTTACACGAAAACTCAGAGTAGGATGTAGCTGGTCTTCTACCTTTTAAGCAGTCGGGCAGCTAAAGCCCTTTAAAATTTATTTCTGTCTTTGAAATGGGTAAAGGACCATATGGATTACTGAGCTGCTCTTTTCTTTTTTCCAGCAGGGTCAATCTGCTTCTTCAGGTTGTGGGCAAGTAAGTCGTCTTTCTCCAAACTATTTGAAAACTAGACCCAGCTTTCTTTGTCGTAGTAACATATTTTTCAATAAGTTATTTAATGTTCGTTAGTTGGAATCTTTTGTTTTCATAGTTACATGGAATTCTCTAGCACAGAGATCAGGAAAGGCTGATATTGTTGGTCATTGTAACCCAAATTATGTGGCTTCTCCTATGTAGTGTTACACACAGAAGATGGACAAGTAGTGATTCATCTGTCTACTCAGTAAACAGATAAAATCTTTGCTTGGGAATGATTTTTGGATGTTGCTCCTTTTAGTTCCTATAGAAAGCAATAGGATCAGAGAGTGGCTCCTGTGGGATAAAGATTAGATTCATCCTGGTTCCATTTCAACTTGTGTATGCCTACAACGGTGTAAAGACGGTGTCTCCAGTGATGAGATCCCAAGTGAAAGGATCTTGAATGAGGCCATGATAGTAAATCTATGTTCAAATAAATGTATCGGGGAAAGCGACAAGAATGAAAGCGAAGTATAAATACAGAAATTTTTAGCAGAGGTATTTAGCAGAAATATTAGGGTTGGCATGAGTTAAGTATGAATGGAAATGCATGTGAAAACATCAGACAAAGCAGTACAAGGACACAGTTAACAGCAATGTAACCACCAAACACCGAATGACATGTTACTTCCACCAAAGCTGCATCACAGGTTGACTTATGAAAAGATCAGTGCTCCAGTAACGGGAGGGTGACAGCCAGGGTAGAACTCATTGTGTGTACTGTTTGTCATCCTGTTATCCCAAGAGGAAGACTGGCTGTAGCCAAAATACACCCAAAATAGGGAAATGAAAAGCATTGGGCAGCAGTCTTGCCCAAGATCTATGATGGGTTAATCCAGCAAGATTCTGAGGAAGACGGTCACACAACAGTAATTGTTGATTACAAAAAGGACTGTCAAAAAAAACCCAGTTCATTCTTACCAATCAAGAGGAACTAAGATGATACAGAGGGACATCAATTGCCAGCCTGCCTTGCCTTCCCTGTGGCACACAAGTAGTCCTGCTTTGATCATCTGTGTGCATGTGTCTTGATGCTTGTGAGTATGTGGGTATGGGAGTGACAGAGGGTAAAGCCACAGCCTTAAATGGTTAAATAAAATTAAGCTCACCCTCTGTAAAGTTTTATGTTGAGTTTTGTTACAGTAATTCTTGCATAAGAAATTTTAAGAAAACTAATTGCTTTGCAAGGAAATGAAAATTTGGACATTTACCTTTTGGTTTGTTTGTTTTTTAACAGGGTGTTTCATATGATAGCAATCCCTGCCACCAGGTAAATGGCCTTCCTCCTCTGATTTTAAGATGCATCCAAAATTAGTTTTCCTAGCATTATGTCTGTGAAATGCCTAGCTTTATAGGGTATTAAGGCCAGATTCTGGAAAGAACAAGTCTGCTGCAGAGTTGCTGAACTGGCACTACTTAAATCAGGGCTGGAGCTCACCAGCCTCTCTGTGGACTTCTCCCATCAAAAGTCAGAAAATATTTTAGGACTGCTACTTGAGGTCCCTGAAAGGGACTGGCTTAAAAATTCACTCAGTTTGTGCAGTGAAGTATTGATAGCTACACGTGAATTTGTTACAAGTTTCAGTGCTGGAACTCTAAAAACTGCTGTCCTAAATGGTGTCTGCTATGTTTAAAGAAACGATCTCTATAAATGTTAAAAATTAGTCAGAAAAGAGCAATAGATTATCTCTTTATTTTATTTGTGATACTTCTCTTGAGTCTGATTTTTCACAAGAAATAGAAAAATCAGATAGATTCATTGTATTAACAAATACTGTGTTTTAGCAGTATAAATACATACTATATTTACAGATATACAAACAACATAAATGTTGCTATAATATATTATTTTAATGTGGTATAGTATATACAATACACTTTAATATGTTATTGTAACTTGAAAGAATAATATATGATATAGGTATAAAATTCTTTTATAATAGTTTTTCAAGTTTTTTTGTAAAGAGGAGATATTTCTTTATAAGACTAAAGGAAACACTTAAATTTTGTTCTAAAAACTGCTAGAACATTGAAAGATAATACTTTTCATTTCATTTTCCTTTGCCTCTTCTGGATGAAGTCTCAGCCCCATTTTAGTGAATGGCAAATATCCCACTTCAACAGCTCAGGATTTCACTGTTCTTATTATGCACTTTTGACACTAATACTTCCACAAATGTCTCTGCTGACTTTGCCTGGAGGAGTTAGATTCCTCTTCTGAAGGGGACATGTTGAAACATACTGAGTGTTTCATTTAAAACCTTTTCCTCAAGGCCACTGTATCTCACCAGCTTTCTGTGTAATAACGCTGACAGGGGAATTCTTCATTCCATTTGAATAAATTGGGTTTTCTACAGGAGAAAAAAAGATACATTCTCTAGGGACTGTTCAGAATGACACTCATCTGTGTACTAGGCCTTACTTAAAGATAACTGTTTGTGGTTCCTTGACATATGTCTCATCTAGTATTTACCTTTGCACTATAGGCAATCTGTTCTTACTACGTTAGAAATCTTACCTGTATTGCACATCTGCCTCTGCTTCTTTCTCCTCCTCAGCAAGTATCATAGCTTTCATTAAAAATAATCCATAGCCAAACAGCAAGTGTCTAAAGCATGCATAATTTTTGTCTGATTTACAGGGTGGATCACAGGGTGGTCAGGTAGGTAACTCTTTATTATCCGTTGGCAAAAACTTTTTAAGCAGTTCTAATCCAGAGTATAGTTTTCTTGCTCGTGAGGGTATAGATTCTTGCAGAGTGTCCCCAGTTCCAGACTGTAACTCATTTCCTTCAAACGTACTTTTTATCAGCCCTGAAATTCCACTTACACAGAAAGAGCTTGGCAACCTAATAAAGCTAGCTCTTTGGATTCTGATCAAATTCAGCTCTCCAGCATTATAACTGTTGCTATCTTGTTTTCATAGGGTGGATCATACTCCTCACAAAGCTATGGTGGTAGCCAAGTAAGTACTAGACTATTATTTCCTCGCACTGAGATTTTACTTCACACAGGTTCCACGATGGCTGTTCAGTATCTGCAATATTGTAATATTAATTCTAACTTTTTTTTTTGTTAGCAGAGTGGATCATCATACTCACAAAATTATGGCAGCAACCAGGTAGGTAGACCTTGATTTTCTCCTGGTAAGAAATTTTATCGTATCTGATAAGTTACCTAGATATCTAGAAACTTGTATTTGTTCACAGGAATCCCAGGTAATTGTTTATTTCAGCTTTACAGCCCCTGAACAAAATCACAGTTTATTCTGAAGTAGGGTTTATATTTGTTTGTTTTATAGGGTGGATCCTCCTCACAAAGCTATGGTGGGGGCCAGGTAAATAACGCTCTACTTTCCCACTTGTACGTCACTTCATACAAGCTTTAGCCTCTGCTCAAAATCAGGGTTTCTATATCCTAATTTTCTCTAATTTCAGTTTGTTTGTTTGTTTTAAAGGGTGGATCGTCCTCCTCAGACAACTATTATGATAACCAGGTAACTAGTTCTTTCTTTCTCCTAGTTATATATTATTTTATGCTAATCTTTGTAGTCCCTGCATCATCTCTCTCAAAGACGTAATTAAACATAATAGTTTCTGTGTTCTTTTTGTTTTGGATTGCTTGGGGATGTTTTTCTTTACTGGATAACGGAACATTCCCTGTAAGCAGCTATTGCAGCCATGTATTTGGCCTCTTATTTTCCTTATAAAGATCTTACTTTAATTTAACTAGTTTGTGGGGGTTTTTTTGCATGAGCCTAATTCTGTTTTGCAGAGTATAAAATTAAAGTCTATTTTTAACAATCCATTTTTGTGAGGAAATAACTGGTATCTGATGTCCTTCTAGAACTCACAAGATTCCTCAGACTATAATCCCAATGCTTGTGAAGATGTGAGTATGCTTTCTCTGATATATTTTCATCATAACATTTTTCATGTAGATGGGACAGTATTGCACTTCTAGATGCAGTCTTGTGAGTAGAATGATCCAGAAAGAACCTTGAGTCCCCACACTAGTAGCTGTTTCACCAACTGCATGCTTTCTTACTAGAGGTCATCCTATAAGTGTTTACAGACACATTTAGCTTGATGAAATGAAATATGGGCAAAATAATATTTCAGTGGCTTTACAGTAACAGAAGATTTTGCCTAAAATCTAAGGATACATTTTACAGTAATTTAAAAAAAAAACCACCATAGACAAGCTTTAAATACATAAAATGAAAGAAAGAAGAGATATGGTGGCAGATATTCCACTGCTTTTCATGTTACATTTCTACCGATCTCAAGCTGCTATTAAAATGTTTTTCAGACTGGAATGGTAGGATTTTAAACTAATTTAGGCAAGGCTGTGTATGATGTGAGCAACAAATGAGGGGGGGGAGGTTTAATGTCTCTAAGCAGTATCAGAAACAATCAGGTTTCTGTAAGCTTACTGTATTTAAATAATTCTTAAAGCAGGAAATAATTTCTTCTTTTCCAGAATGACACTACCTATAGTGCCAATGGTCGGGTAAGTGCTTTTTTTCTTCTGCAGTATTCAAATTCTTATGATTAATGACAGTGTTAGTAACTGAACACTTCTACATTAGACCTGTGGGCATCTAATTGTAGTCTATGATTGCTTAATAATACCCTTCAAAAAGTTAATTGAAGAATGAGATATTTGATGTTATATTTCTCTATACTCGGTTCCTTCTAGCCATTCTCAAGGCTGCTGCACAATCATTTAAAACTGCACAAATACAATACAGTATACATAGTAACACAGGTTCTTTGTGTGGATGGGGTTATTGACTGGATAGTTACTTGGGAATTAACCATCTGTGTACGTGAGGCACATAGCCACCTCAAGCATTTTCCACTTCTCCTAATTTAAACTCACATATATGCTAGTATTGTAAAGTAACATTTATCCCTGGTAATATTCTCTCTGTCAAGAACTTCCGTCTGTCCTACAAGCAGAAACTGTGATTAACATGGATAGATCGTGACCAAGCAAATATATTGTTGTGTAAATTAATGACATTTTAATGTATTTTCTGTTCATAGAAAAGCTTTTTCCACCTGTTAGAGCCTCCTTTTGTTTTACTGCCATCTAGAGTAACCTCCTGTCATCACCTACGCCTTTTCTTCAGCTGTCAGCCATATGCCTTACTGCTTCATTATTTTCCCTATTTTTCCTCTCTAGTACTTTAGCCCTGCACCGAGCATGTGTACTAGGAAGTAAGGAGGCCTTCTGAAAACATCTTTTGGTTTCGGTTGTATTTCCGTTGAATGCATTGCATTAGGTTTAATGCAAAAGCTTCTGCAAATAAAATCCTTCAGCAGCAAGCCCTGGTTTTAAGAATCTCATCACTTCCTCCTTTGTTCACAAAAGATGTTGTTATTCTATTATTCCCTTGGTTATCCCTATCCAGTGCCTATTGCTGGACTTCATTGTAAAATACTTTGCTTCTAAACAGTCTCACAAAGAAGGGTGGGGAATTGGGGAATGGTAAGAGAAAAAAAAAAATCATTATACAGATTGTTCTCTAAACCACAGTGGTTGAGCTGAGGGAGACTCCACTAGGCAGGAACTTCTGATGAAGGAGTGATAAGGTGATGAGCTTGACACAGACTTTCTGCTTTTGTTACTACATCCTTTACTGATACTCAAGCCAATTTATTTAAATTGGAATCACTCTTTGAACAGCTTGTAAACATAGCTTTGTAAACCAACTGTTTTATACTTTCACAATTTCATGCCGAATTTTGAAGAAAAAAAAAACGAACACTAAAAGAAAGTGAGACCTTGCTACCTCACTCTTTAGTAAATGTGTTTTATGGTGCAGTTAAGTCCGAATCTTGTATTGGTTCCTCAGGAACAGGCTGATGTGGTTTGGATTCCTGTTTGTACACTATGAGGGTTTCGGCAGATAAATGACACTTTCCTCTCTTGCTTCAAAGCTAGTCTAGCAATGTTGGTTACTTTTATTTTCAAATAACTCTAATACAATATTTTCCACTGTGTTATTTAGTGAAAGTAGGGTTAATTCTCTGGACATTTTCTTGTCCCAAAATATGCCACCTCAACAAGTTTAGGTAGATTCTTGCTGAAAGTGTTCTGTGTGGATGGCTGCATCTATAAAGTAATAACGCTTGTGGCTCCTTTACAGAGCTCTGGTTGTGCAAAGAAGAAAGTTCTTGTTGCTCGAGTAAGTAACTTTTTTTTTTTCACTGCTTGTAGGATTTTTGCTCTAAGTATACCTAATTTGTCCCAGTTATGCCTGATTTTTCCCAAATTATGTTTGTCCTAATTAATATTCTTCTATTTAAGGAAAAAGTAAAATAAAATAGCTTGGCTATTTGCTCTTCGGGTGAATTTACTTTAAAGGAAGTATATATATGAAAATAAAAGACATGAAAATCCTGCTATGAGGTGTAGGGCAGCTCAAATTCCTATTCTTCAGGAAGGACATGCAGGGTTGGTCCAAGGTAAAGTTAAAATCAAATGAGTGTCACACAAACAGAGGAGAGCTAAAAGTTTAGCTGAAGACAGACAGAATAACAAAGTAGGAAAGAATAATGTTTGGTAATTTCTTGTGCTCAGCATGTTGTGGCCGAGATACGGATATGTGTATTGTATAGCTTCAAGTCAGACTCAGCAGTAGCCTATAAAAATTACATGCAAAGAACCTCTTATTTTATAATAAGGCATTCCTACTCAGTGTATGCATTAAAGGGTCTGGAGTTGTTATAAATAAGTAATAGAGAAAAAAAGAAGGCCTGTCACTGATCATAGAGTTTTCATCTCCTAATAGTAAATGCTTTTGTTTTTTACAGGATACATCACATGCCTTGAGCAAAAGAGACGATGATGTACAGGTAAACCATTCTTGTCATTTTTTCTGAACTACTGCTGGTGTTACAGCCCCTTGGTGTAATATCTACAAAAAGAAGAAGGAGGATTTAGTTTCCATAACAGAGTATTCTGTTTAGGGTTAGGTAGTTCTTTCCCAATAAAATTTTGTATTTTTATTTATTATCCTTACAGAAAAATGAGTTATTTCTTGTTTCTTTACAGAATGAGTCTTCTACTTCAAATAGCAGCCACACTAATCTCCAGGTAATAACATAGTGTCTACTGCATGATTTCATTGCAAGGAGCTTTCTGATAAATTATATTTCATTTCTGGAATTAGGTTCCACTAATTTATCTGTGATGAAGGATGCTATTTTGTTTTGGCAGCATTTCCCCTATAATGTTATGATTTTGCACAGTTGTAAATAATGATAATAGGCCCAGAATATACTGTCTCCTCTGTTCCTTTACTCCACTAAGCAGGTAAGCATTGCAGGTGTTTCTTTACATAACGTTTTGTAAAAGTTGCTTGCAAAATGCAAAAGAATAGTTTTAGAATCTTTTTTTAGAAACAGTCCTGTTCTAGTGATGATAATGGCCAGATATATAACTCGGTTTCATTTAGAATTTGGTAACAAGGTACATCTTGGTGATTAGGTACTTCTACAAAAGTAGGTCCAATTTTCATATTCTGTAGACTTATGTACTGCTGCAGCACTGTATATGTTACAGAATTATGTGAAATTTAACTGATCCAGACTGGGATCTGATTCTGTTTTTCTTAATATTTTGTACTGTATTTGTACCCATCAGCTTCCGAGAAATCTGGAATCCCACTATGCTCAGCATTATGTAGATGTAACACTAGCATAGTCCTCTGTCTCGGAGAGTTTGAAGTCTAATTCAATAGTACAGTCAGATCTCTGAGCTCCAGACAGCAACAGTTTTCTTAATTAGTTTTCCTGATATCGATGTCCTGTGTATTGTATCCAGTCACTAATTAAGTTTCATCCAAATTTATGTTTTCACAATGACTCAGAGAGTTCTGAACAGATAATGTTTGTTGGTGCAGGGAAGTAGTGCAAAGAGTTTGGCACCTTACTTCTCTCTACATAATTTTATACGTTTTACATCTATGCAATAAAATGCTTCTATAAAAAAGTAATTGGTTTCTTCACAGGGTGGATCATTTGTTGCAACCAGTGGTGGATCAAATAGTCAGGTCAGGATTTTCTCTATTTTTATCTACTCTTGTCCAGATAGCTTCCTGGTAATTAAACTAATTAAATTCAGGAGTCAGAGTTTAAATCCAGTAATTTTGCATGGGGGATTGGTGAAGTTATGCATTAAATTGTAAATGAAGTGACCCTCTTCAGATTAAATTTATCTGAAATGGCGCTCTCAAATCACTCAACACTGTTTCAATTTCACACACTCTTTGTTGCTGAAAGCACAATGGTGATTCTCTGTACTCTTGACTACCCAGATAATTCTCTCTTGATGAGGCTTCTGTCATTGAGACATAGCCCTGAGAGATGTAGTTATCAGTCTAACTTCCAAAGCAAACGTTAAAATGTACAAAGCTATGCTGTCCCTTTATTTGTTCTAGGTATAGGAAAGGTCATAGCTACTCTGTAGTCCCACAGCCTTTCTTCCCCTAAACACAGTTTTGCATCTGAAATAAAAATTTATTTTAAGCTTCCAAAGAGCAATAATTGTTTCCTTTTTTTTTAATTATAGGGTGGTTGCATTTGTCCTGATGGAAGCAGTGGTTATACACAGGTAATTCTTTTTCCTGAGTTTATACTTTCATCTACATAATGGAGTATTTTGAATTAATCACCTAGTAAGTATGGACACTTGGGTAACACTAAACATTATTTGTAATTTCCTTAGTATGGATAGAATTATATACAATGAAATGGAAGAATGAGTCCCACTTTACTTTAACTGAATAATTACTATTTGGCCACTAACTTTCTGTAACTGTGCTTGGTAGTCCAGATGCTCCATCACTTGACTGTTATGTGCTAATTATTCATTACTTTCAAAAACCAGAGTCAACATGTCCTGTAGTAACCACAGAATTTAATTGCAAACAGCTTAGGGTCCTTGTCCTTCTCACTGGTATAATAAAGTATTGTGACAAAAATGTCAAAAATTGGATAAATATTTCAAAATATAATCCCTTAAATCAATATTTAAGATATTTTTTCCCATAGAGACAAACACTGCAAATTCATGATCCATGGCACAGGATAAACTTTTCTTTTAGGCAATGCCTCTGTGACAGGAAAAAGAGCAAGGAATGCAGTTACATGGGCACTATAGGCTAGCTTTACCAGGCTTCTGGCTTCACCTGGCTTTGCCAGGTGAGCATGGATTTTAAAGTCACCTATCTTCTTCCTGAACACTTATTTTTGAAGCTTTTATTGAGGTTGTATTTACATAAACCCATTTGAATGGTGTAATGTTTTTTTTTTTTTAGTTTTCAATTTCCACAAGAATCATATTGTGGATTATTATTTCTGTAAAAAAGCATCCTATTTAAACAAATTAATTGTATAAAGACATTACTGCTTTCTGAACTTAATTGTCATTAACATATAGCAACAGATGAAGTACTTCCTCCTTCATATAATTGTGGCTGAGCAGCAATCATAGCCTACATGTTTTGAAATATAGTCTAGTCTATTAAAGTAACTAATATTGAAGCTTCATCAAGGAAAAACTTTTTTGTTTGCCCTGTAGTTGTAATGCTAGATAAGCAAATCTGTTTCCAAGGACAAAGATGGACGTCTTTATGCAAGTTTTCATTCTACTAGGGCTTTTTTCTTTCCATGCTTAAATTGGTGCAAAAAGAGGCTTAGCTTCTAACAGCAAGCCACCTCAGCTTGGCCGGGGGGAGGAGAGGGTATTTAGTTGCTATCAAACAATAATTTTCAACATGAAGAAAATAAGACATCTAAATTGGGCGCATTAGAAAACCAGTTCTCAGTGCAGATATGTCTACTTTGATACACAAGAGACTTGTATTTCCATTTGTGGTAGTATCAGCTGATAGAATTAATTTATGATAAACTAGGTAGCAATAGTCTTGATCTTTGTCTTCACCCAACAGTAAAGTTCAGCGATCTTTGCAAAGGAATAGACCGAATTAAAAACTGGGCTTATTTTCATTTTCTGTCCAGGGTCAATCCTCTACATATGGCAGTAGCAGTGCTTAAGATTGGCATGTAGACACATTGGTCATGGTAGGCAGCTTTGTTCTTCTGCATAAAAAAAGCAAGGTATAGGTAGATGTATATGTATAAATAAGCCATCGTTCATAAATCTTACGTAAAAGAGAGTCATCTACTTCCTTGAAGATTCTTCAGCCCAGGAGGAAAATTCCTGCAAAAAGCTTTCTTCTAAACTTAAAAGCTATGAGTTACATGAAGGTCTCTTCAAACCTAGAAAAGATTATAAACTAAAAGTCAAAGCTATACATATTTAAATCATCTGTTTCAAAGGAAACAATGGGCTTCCTTATGTGGATCCCCAAATTGCTCACACTGCAATTATTCCACTTTTTCTCTAAGCTTCCGCTAAAGACAAGATGCTCAGTCCACAAATAGTCACTGAGGAAGCAGTCTAACCATAGAATCATACTTTGTCTGTTTTGCATGTAAAGGGTATATGACAGTAATAATGGATGTTATGTACTGGTAAATAATCTTCTTCTTTAAGCACTGAGCTGAAAAATCTGCTCTCCTAAACCCTATTTACACTTTGGAAATTCAGGACTCTCTCAATTTTTAAAAACACAATCAGAGTCATGATCATCTATAATATATAGAGTCTGCCAGATATGACATAGGATACTGTGATTAGAAAGAGTAAAATGAAAAGTTATTTCTTTCAGGTCTTTCAACCTGAACAGAAAAGTACCTGCTAAAGGTTTCCTTGTCTCTAACAAGAATAACCAGTGTTCTCTTTTAATGATTGCAGTAATGTCCTTTTTGAAAGCTGTATTTTGAAATAATAGAAATTCAGAAATGGACTCATCTACTTAAATGTCTGTTTGCAAGAAAATAGCTAGTCTGTGTTTTCATTTCAGGGAGGCCCAGGTTCTTCACACAGCACATATTTTGGTAACCAGGTAAACATTCAGATAAAATGCCCTATTCAAAGCTCCACCTAAAACCTTCCCTGAAGGAGCAGCCAAACATAAACCAGTAACCCGTTCTGTCTTCTGCACAGGGAGGGCCTTTCTTCTATCCTGGAGGATCCTATGGACAGGTAGTTGTTCTTCCTCCCTTACCGGGATAACGGACTCCTGTCATCCTGGTTCCTAGCCCCCTGATATCGTGGGTGCCATGGCGTGCTATAATACAGACCCGACAGTTATCTCTTGGAGTAGAAACTTAAATTAACCCTGAGGTAACCAAGTGGTGTGCGGATTGACAGAGAACAGTACGGAATGCTATCTGCAGTTTCCTTGCAGAATTCAGGTTTCAGCAGGCTAAGAAAGTTACCGCCAGAAGACTTCTTCCACTTTAACAATATTGGTCTTGATTTTTATTTAGGTGCATAAAAGTTAGCTCAAAGTTGGGAGAAAGGGTTTAAAGGGAGAACCAGATACGCTGGTATTTAAATACTCTTCTTGTCTGCAAGAAAACAGCTGGTCTGTGTTTTCCTTTCAGGGGGGCCCAGGTTCTTCCCACGGCTCTTACTCCGGTAACCAGGTAAATACTCTGATCACTGTGCCTGCACAGGAGCAGTCTAAAAGTCCTTCCTTGAGGGAATATTTTGACTACAAACCAGTAATTTTTGTGTATTCTGTACAGGGAGATTCTTCCTTCCAGCCTGGTGGATCTTATGGACAGGTAAGTGTTCTTCCTCCTTTGTAAAGATAAGACAGACTTCTGTTATCTTCATTCCTATATTCCCCATGTAGTAGCTGTTGTGAAATATAACTCCCAAGAATTGAATCAACCATTTGTAACTTAGTACATGAAGGCTGTCAGAAGAAAAGGCTAAATTGGGTTTACAACTCCCATGGAATGATCTTTCATCCAGCTAAGACAACTAGTGATAAGAAGTTCCTTGTTCTTTAACAATGTTGGCCTAAAGTGAGAGTCAGGTACATTGCTATTTACACCATCCTGTTTGCAAGAAAATAGCTAGTCTGTTTTCATTTCAGGGGGGCCCAGGTTCTTCACACAGCACATATTTTGGTAACCAGGTAAACATTCAGATAAAATGCCCTATTCAAAGCTCCACCTAAAACCTTCCCTGAAGGAGCAGCCAAACATAAACCAGTAACCCGTTCTGTCTTCTGCACAGGGAGGGCCTTTCTTCTATCCTGGAGGATCCTATGGACAGGTAGTTGTTCTTCCTCCCTTACCGGGATAACGGACTCCTGTCATCCTGGTTCCTAGCCCCCTGATATCGTGGGTGCCATGGCATGCTATAATACAGACCCGACAGTTATCTCTTGGAGTAGAAACTTAAATTAACCCTGAGGTAACCAAGTGGTGTGCGGATTGACAGAAAACAGTACAGAATGCTATCTGCAGTTTCCTTGCAGAATTCAGGTTTCAGCAGGCTAAGAAAGTTACCGCCAGAAGACTTCTTCCACTTTAACAATATTGGTCTTGATTTTTATTTAGGTGCATAAAAGTTAGCTCAAAGTTGGGAGAAAGGGTTTAAAGGGAGAACCAGATACGCTGGTATTTAAATACTCTTCTTGTCTGCAAGAAAACAGCTGGTCTGTGTTTTCCTTTCAGGGGGGCCCAGGTTCTTCCCACGGCTCTTACTCCGGTAACCAGGTAAATACTCTGATCACTGTGCCTGCACAGGAGCAGACTAAAAGTCCTTCCTTGAGGGAATATTTTGGCTACAAACCAGTAATTTTTGTGTATTCTGTACAGGGAGATTCTTCCTTCCAGCCTGGTGGATCTTATGGACAGGTAAGTGTTCTTCCTCATTTGTAAAGATAAGACGGACTTCTGTTATCTTCATTCCTATACTGCCCTTAAAAGAAGGAAAACTCTTGAGGGAACCAAAATAATAACCTTTTTTAATTTTCTTTACAGGAAGGGTCTTCTGTCTATGACAGCAGCAGTGAATCCTACGGTCAGGTGAATACTCTTTCTTTTCTCTTAGTATAAAGGGTGCTGAGGGCCAATATCCTGGCTCCTATATATAGCTATATTCTGTATTTTGGCTCTCACTATATTTTAATGAAGGTGGGGTTTTTTTCTTTGTGGAGTGAATTTGCATATACTTTTAATTAAGCAGCCTAAAAATTTATGGGGGAACAAAAAGTGGGGTGCCTCCAACCATTAAAGCTTACTCTCCTCAACAATGCTAGCTTTGAATTATCTACAAGATGAAGGTCTCTTCAAAAGTGGAAATAGAATTTGAGTTTAAAATATGTTAAATTACAAGTGTCTTACAGGGACATAACTATGAGTTGCTCAATAGCCATTCTGATAACTAAGTAAATATTCATATTTTTTAAATCACCCCAGAAGGGAATCCCTATAATAAACATCTTAAAAAAATGTATATTTGCAATATGAAAATGATTTATGTTTTCTGAACAGGGTGGATCTTCAGCATATAGTGGTGCTGAATCTTCCACATCTAGTGGTACTGGAGCTTATGGTCAGGTAAATATTTGTCTCATACATCAAAAGCTTAAGCTTGCTGTGCTGGTTCTTATGTGTGAGACCATGGAAATGTCATTTTACTTTTTGTTTCTCTCTACTTTTATTTAACTCTTGACAACTCCAATGTTTCCATAATGGAGGGAAGGTGATGCACTATACATGCTATCATGCTTACGGTGCCACTGTGACTATTCAGTGTTTTTAACTACTTTATTGTTTGTGCATTAGCTCATTCAAAAGGAAAATATTTCATGCATTTACTTTACACACCTTACTTCATGCAGAAGCTGTTGAAAGTCTAGGGGAATGCACATACTATATTTGAAGTCTGTGTTTATTGATGTAAATCTCATTGTGGGAACATTCTGGGGAGATCATCTTGTATTTTATTTAGCAATACCTTTTAACGAGCCAAAGTCATATAGAATTATTTATTAAAAATAAAAGATATATATAACCCAGATTGCTTTTTCATAGAAAATTATGTCATGTTGCTACTTCTGGTGCAGGATCGAGAAAGAAAGCATAGATAATGGGATTTCTGAATGTAAAAAATGGTTAATTTTTCAAATCAACTTTATCTAAAATTTTTCCTTATAAAAATGTGTGTTTACAAGGAGGGGTGGTTTTTAACCTCTTCTGTTTAAGCAACAGGTAAAGGTATATATTTTTTCTTTTCTGGCACATTCCCTGGTTTAGGTAAAATCAGAGATTCTAAGTGGCTGGTTATTTTTATTCTTCTACTTTATATTCTCCACAAGTAAGGTCATCTAAGAGTCCTTTTTAAATGAAAATAAATGCTTTTCCATTATTTTACAGGATTCACCTCCCATGGGAGGCGGTGAAACTGATGACAGTGTAAGCATTTTCTTCTCAAGTATGTCAGTATCAGAATTTACTACCTTCTAAAGTATCTAGGTGCATACATAGCCCTTTACCTTATCTCATTATCTTATCTTCAGGAGCTCTTTCCCAGTACATTCTAATCACCTGTATTGTGCAGTAATTTTCTGCAACAACTTTGAAATTATATTGTTTCTATAGATAAAGGGAAATGTAGATTTAAATTATGTCACATTATTGTGCTATGGTATGATAAGGAATTGGCAAATTAAAATTGCGGTTACAACAGTTCTGATTTGTAACAATCATGCAATTTTTGAATCAGTTATTAGAAATAGCATTTTCAAAGGAAGGTCTTTTCCCTTATTTCACAATTTCCATTGAAACTCAGTATTAGTATATGCCCATGTTATACAAAACAACCAGATACTTCTTACTGTGAGCGATTTAATTTGGCTACTTTTTTACTGAGTTAATTTAATACAATAACACTAATTTAACACTACAGCAATGGTATCGTAGTATGTCAGATCAGCCATTCTTGTTCCTAAGGATTATGTTTTGTGATTTATCTCCTTAAGAGTATATTACATATATGTTTATTATTATGGACTCTTGTAACAATTGCCACAAATTAGGACTTTCAAACTTAATTGCTCTTAAAATACAGATTTATTTTAAAATTCAGAATTCAGCTTTTCCTTGGTTTGTTGAGAAAACACATCATATTTGACCCTTAATCATTATCTCATTTTATTCTTTTTCTATAATACAACTTCCTTTATCAACACTGCACAGAGCAGTTCTCTCTCTTTCCATCTCCAACTCACACTGCACTTATTTGTGTTTTTCCAATGCCAGACATATAAGATTCAAGTTCCTTCACCTATATATTACATAGGAATGGTCTGGTTTCATGTACTGTGGTGAGAACTGCTTACTCTTCTGTTTGAGAACAAGCTTTTTCTCCTGACTAAAGTATATTTCCCATTAATTGTGGTGAGGCTGTTCATAAAAATTTCCAAGTTTAATATCTCGTTTTCTCAGAGTCTTGAGTAATTGATTGTACTTTAACTGGATTTCTAATAAGCCTATTTTCCAGTATCCTGGTTAGTAGGAAATTGGTTTTTACCAATTCATCTGTGCACTTCAGCCACAAGTATAGTGTGTCATTAGTTTCCACACAGTTTCTGTATCAAAACCATCTTGTGGATATTCAGCAAAGCTAAAATATGATACCGCAGAGGGCCCCAAGGCCCTCTGAAAGAAACTAAGCTATGAAAGAAACTAAGGTATAACAGCATTGGTGGGTACCGCTGAGGTCTTACAAGAACCAAGACAGCTTTTAAAGTGCTGATGTTTTCCTCTATAGCATTCTAAGAGGAAGTAGCATAGATTGAGATGTGATCCCATTCCTTTATTATGCTGTATCAGGATTCAGATTTCCAAATAAACGTCATTCGTCAGACATGAGCAGAGAAAGAAATTAAAAGTTTATCCATCAGCCTACATCTTTAACCCTTCCAACAAGTCACACAAACAAGCAGTAGTTTTCTTTGCCTTCCACCCTTGCTTAGAGAAAAATAGACATATTTGCCACACAATAACTAGATTCTAATATTTTTTAGGATTCCACCTCTCCATCTGGCAGCCGGCAGAGTGAACGGGTAAGTGCTCCTTCCTTACATGTGCCAGGGTACCTGCCCCAGTGCTCGGCAACTGCTAGCCACCTAAATTACATCTTGTGTGGAAGCTGGTGTGGCAGCTCCCAGTGTGGGATAGAAAGTCCTCAAGCGCGGAGGAGTGAGGGTATGGCTAAAGTGTTAAAGTACTCCTAGAAATCCCACCTGATGCTGAGGCGTGCTCTTGAATCTCAGCCTCACATTACAAACACGGTGCCACAATTTACTTGTTCAGGTTCCTGCACTTTTTTACATACTGCCTGACTTCAGAAAGCTTCAATACCATGATGTGTCCAGCATTTATTCTAAGAAAAACCCTTTGCTTTGTTGTGCTGTATGACTTACTTATGAGGGCTTCCATTTTCCTATCATTTTTGGATGGCACCCACTTTACTTACTCTAATGAGAATTAAACGACACAGACTGAGAAATTATTTTGTTGGAGCTACCAGAACCCTTTAATCATTGCACCCAAAAGAATATCTTTCACCAAAAGAGCAATTATCAACAAGCAGAAAGGGGCATGCACTGTTTTATACACATAGACCTTTGGGGTTTTTGTTGTCCTTGAACAATCCCTGAGGGGAAATTAAGGAATGTAGAAAGAGAGTTCAGCTTCCATCCTGATCTTTCCGTATTACAACAGAAAGGAAGTTTTTGGGTTTTTCATGTCATTTCAATACATTTTTCCAGGATTTTTATTCCCCAGGAGGCAGCCAGTCAGGTGGACATGTAAGCATCTATTTTATTCATTATTTGCAGTTCCCTTCCAAAATGGCTGTTCTATTTAAAAATTGTCCTGATGAGTAAATTATACCCAACTGCTTATCTCCTAGAATTTCTCATGACATCTGGCATTATGTCTTGTGAAACCAAATGGAAAATTGTTTTTTAAATTTTTTTTTTTTTAAATTTAAAAATATTTGTATGACTATTCAACAACATAGCCTTGTTTTCCAGAAGCCATTTTAAACAAAAATAAATTGGGTCTGCTTTTTGCAGGGATTGTCTTCTCAAGGTGGTGGCTACTCCAGTGGGCAGGTAAATACTTACTCTTTGTATTTTTAACCTGAATTATCCGTTATACAAAAGCTTGAGTCCTCATACTGTATTACTGCAATTTTTTATCTGGGAGCAAGATTCATGCAGTACTCAAACACCTTTTCCCTATATATGTCTGCATAAAAGTCCAAGTGTAAGCAGAGTGGTCAAAGTACAATTCATGCATTAACTGATGTTCTAACACCAGGAAATAAATGAAAGTAATAAATATTTGGTATTAATTTATATTTCTTAAATGAAAATTAAGTTACTTTTATTTTTTTCAGGACTCATCCTTATCTGGAAGCAGCCAGTATGGTGGGCAGGTGGGAAATTATTTTTCTTCACTGTTGGTTTTCTTTTTGGTTTTCCCTCCAATGTATGTATTTCAAGAAAATATTACCAGATTGGTAATACCTGAGTTTCCAGACTCCTGTGGGGTTTTTTAAATCATCATTAATCTTTCTATAGATAAAATTGGGTTCTTAACCAGGTAGATATTTTTAAAACATAGTTTAGAGAGTAAAAGACAATACATTGTAATTGAATATACATGTCAAACTTAAAGAAAATCTTTTAAAGGAAAATATAACACTTACAGGGTTCAAATTCTTCAGGAGGCAGCCAGTCTGGTGGACAGGTATGTTTTTCTTTCTCCTCACCATTCACTCGTGCTAGGGTCAGACACAATTGACTTTGCGTATCTTTCCTTCACAAGAACTGTTTACCTTCACCACTGTCCCTCTTACCCAACGCCTCACCAACCCGTTATTTTCTTTTTCTGCCTCATACAGACATCCCACAGGCCAGAGTAGCCAGCAGGAACTCTCTGAATCGCAGTTGTGTTTGGGCTTCTCTACTTGCTTTGGTGCTAAATGTCTTCCTTCTCACATATTCCATGCAGACAGAATGTGGAAAGTGAGATGCTGAATGGTGAACCCCTGGCCACCTCTCAGTTAGTTTATCAGAGTAGAGATCATCTAGAAGGCCTCCACCTGAAGTAATCTTTAGTGTTTTCTGAAACATCTCCAGCATGAAAGAGTACTGTGTGTATTCCAGGCACAGGAATCTGGCCTCTCTAGGGGAAAAAAAAAAAATTGCTTAAAAAATTGCTTTCTGTAGTAACACTCAGAATTTTTTACTTGTCATTTTGGTGTGTAAGTTTTTTAAGGTAAATTTGAAAATAACAGAATTCGAAGGGTTTTGCCCAATCAGAGCATAAGTACAGGAATAGTTGCAGAGCATGAAGAGAACAAAAAATAGACTAATTTCTAGAAGTTGGGCACTTGGGCAGTTGTGAAAGTAACTTTATGCCTTGCATGCCTGGGATGGTAGAAGAATTAATTCCAGTTGCAACTGGAGTCCCTTTCAGTCCTGTGCTCTTGATATCTTAAATATTTTCTGCATTGTTTACAGGGTGGATGTGATTGTTCTGGGGGAAGTTCTGTAAGTGTTATTTGTTTATTATACATCATCTTCTACGAAATTATTTAACTGGAAAATTATTTGTGGTCCTATTTATTTCTAACTTATTTATTTTAATGTACTCTTAATTCTATATTCATTGTTCTTTTGGTGACTTACATATTACTGACATGATAGGAGTTATTTCTCACTAAGCCAAGATGATGAATTTGGAATCATGGAATTGTTTAGGTTGGAAAAGACCCTTAAGGTCATCAAGTCCAACTGTTACCCTAACATTGCCAAGTCCACCACTAAACCATGGCCCTAAGGACCTCATCTGCATGGCTTTTGAATACCTCCATGGATGGGGACTTGACCCTTCTCTGGACAGCCCCTTCTAATGCCTGATAACCCTTTGGGGGAAGAAATTTTTCCTAATGTGCAACCTAAACTTCCCCTGGCACAACTTGAGGCCGTTCCCCCTTGTCCCATTGCCCGTTACCTGGGTGCAGAGACCCACCCTACGCCCCAGCTCCCCCCTCCTCTCAGGCAGTTGTAGGGAGCGATGAGGGCTCCCCTCAGCCTCCTCTGCTCCAGGCTGAACATCCCCAGCTCCCCCAGCTGCTCCCCAGCAGCCTTGGACTCCAGACCCCTCCCCAGCTTGTGTAAGCGCAATTTAATTTCAGACTGTGATATTCTTCCTTTAATATACCATAGAACAGGCATTCTAAGATTTTTTCATTTTTAGTTTATGATCAAAGACAAAGGCTAATTTTTCTTTTTTTTTTTTCCCTTACAGGGTGGATCCTCTAACTTAGTCAGAAGCGATTCCTCTGCAAATGTAAGCAATGTTCATCAGCTTTTAAGGGTGACCCTGTGTTTGTTTTGTCAATATAATGACTAGCGAGGTTAAAAAGAGCCAATACCTAATAGAAGTCAGACACTTGTGAAAATAACCTACCTTAGTTACAATTAAAAATACACACAGGACATTCATGCAGTGCTCTCAGTTTCTCTTTCCATTTGAAATAGTATTCTTTCAAAAAGAGGTCTTTGAATGAAAAATGTTGTTTGACATAAATGCAGGTGCATAACAATATATAAATATTTACTTTGGGAGCCAGTGCCATTGGCTTCCTTGGAACTATGTCGAAATATCCCCTAAGGACATGGTTTTATGTGTTTGTATTCCTCTCAGATTACTTACTACAACAAAGGTTGTTATTCATAGATCAGTAATGTAATGATGATAGCCCTCTCACATGGATAACAACTCTTTTGCAGGAGACCTATTTACAGTGTTCCTAAGACCAGTTCTGTTCCTCATGTGTTAGAAAGTCATGCAGTGTGTGTCACTGGCATTCTGTATGTGCTGCACTAAAGGGAGAAAAACCATTTGGGTCTTTTTGTATCTAGCACAGAAGTCTGTGGCATTGTTACCAGACTGCTAATTGATATAAAGTTGGCTTGGACACAGCTACAGAAATGTACTGTACAAAAATAAATATTATGTGATAAATAGGACTGGTCTTGTGCTCCCTGGTAGGAAGGAAGACTGTGTATATATCTACAGTCAGGAAAACATTCTTCCCCACCTGTGTTCTACATCCTTTATATTATTGATGTTGGGATTTGTTTTCTCTGAAACTTCCAATTGGGACTGAGGTTTTTGGTTTTTACTGACTTGGCCATCTTTGGACAGTTCAGAATCAGGGATTGTGTATAACGATTGAGGGAACTTTAGCAGTTGTGTCTACATCGACAAGTACTGCAAACTGCTGGGCTTGTTTCACTCTGTAGAGTGAAACAATCAGTGCTGATGAACCAATGGCCACACTATACACATTTCAGGAAGGGTCTGCTCTGGTCTGGTCCCATGGGCCAAAAGTCCATTTACTACCTGAATGCATTAAGTGTGTCCCTAGAGACCATTCTACAATTTAGTTTCTTCTGAAAGGAATCCAATTAATTCACTCCAAGACCACCCCATGATGCAAAGCAAACTACAGTGAGTGGGTACTATCAGGAGTTTTGTCTCAAAAGCAAACTCCTGATCTGTACTTTAATGCACAGATGCAACCAGTACCTTGACATGGGAGAATGGCTTTTGCATACTGAATGTAGATCTTAGCTCTCCCCTAAGTATACGTTGCAGTCTACCTCAGAACATTGTCATTAATGTCTTCTTTATAGGGCAATTGAAAAGTCATTTACATGGTTAAGATTCCTTATGAAGGACACATTTCTGATAGATGCTCAACAGTATATAGTTCATGAGCTTAGCAGATCTTGTGGAAGCTCGGAGTACTCAAAAGGTCTGCAGTACCCTGCAAGAATGAATACAAAAAGCTTTTTGTGGGGATGCCATTCTTCAGTGTGTTGATTTTTAAACTGAAAGAAATAAGCTGCCTATCCTTCAGCCAGATCCTCTGAAGTGAAATTTCCTTTCTGAAAGGGCTCTGGAGGCAGCCTTTCTGGTGGATGGGTACACACTACATTTTAGATGTATTAACAAAGTAGGGAAGGCTAGATTTTACATTCTGAGTGGATTTTAAACCCAAGCAAAAAGGTTTAAAATTTACATACTGCTGTCCTTCAAGAAGTTTTGCTTTAAAATAGTTCTCTCAGAGAAAAATAACTAGTTTCTTGTTTTTTTCTTTCCAGGGCTCCTCTTCTTCTGGAGGCAGCCAGCACAGTAGCCAGGTAAGCGCTCACTCCAAAAGGAGAGCCACTTTGCCACTTCTGAAAATTATGGTTATTCACAAGCTCAATTAAATTCAGTATTGATACGGGAAATATGTTTAAAGAGCAAAAACCCGGTAAATGAAATTCATCATTGAGTTTGATATGTCCTAAAATTTATCCACAATGGCTTTTTTTAGCCAATAGTGCCCTTGTTTTTGTGAAACTTGCATAATAAAGCTCACACAAAAAATAGGTGTGGGGAAAGAATGAATCAAAACGTAGCATTTTTGATTCCTAGTGGACTTAATTCCATTAAGAAGAAAAACAGATACAATCTCCCCTCTTTAAAGAGACCTCTTGTTGTATGAGGGTTCAGTAAACTTGGCTGGCTTGGTTTTCAGAGTCCTGTTAGGTAGCCAATCTTTTTCTGCTAGCTTTGGCCCAGGATTCAGCTTTCCAAATAAAAAAAAATGCTATTCTCCAGAAATGAGCAGAGAAAGAACTTGAAAGAATGCTGCTTTAGCCTTCCCAACAAGTCACACAAGCAAAGCAATAGGTGGTTTTGGCTTCCACGCTTCCTTAGAAACTCAGGTTTTTCCCCAAGTTACCTTGTACATCTTGAACTCTAGTTATTAAAGCATACCGGAAGTCCTGCTCGCCTGCCTTCACTCTTACCTTGCTCTCTTGCTCCTATTGTCCTGGGAGAGTCATGTTTTGATTTAAAGAAATCCTACAGCAGTTAATTCACTTATTTGATATTCTTTACAGAATTCGTATTCCTCTGGAGCTAGCCAGTATGGTGGACATGTAAGCTCTTACTTTTAATTTTTTATGATATACTTGTTTTACTGTTATTTGACTCCTATCAAGTAAAGAATTATCCAGATAGCTATCTCAACTTAATAGTTCAAGAAACTTTATAGTCATCTATTCTCTGTAGTAATATTGTGAGTTTAAGGAAGACAAAAATATAGAGTTTATTCTGGGAAGATGACAAAAAGTCAAATAACAAAATGCAGATGTGTTTGCCGCTCATCTCCATGAATTAAGTATTCAGAAATTACTGACTTTCAATATTTTTCCAGGGGTCATCTTCTTACGGAGGCAGCCATTATGGTGGACAGGTAAGCATTGATAGTTCCTCCTTTTGTAGTTTCAGCCTATGCAAACTTGTAGTTTATTCATTGTCTGGCTGTCTACCTTAGGTGTATTTATCTTAGCCTAAAATCTTCTCAGTACATCTTTCTCTGTAGCATTATGGTGCTGCTGTGGTTAAACAAAACAAGTTCAGGTGAAGACCATTAATTAAGGCTAAGAAAAAACAGAACGTGAAATACATGGTTCATTCAATTAGCTCCTGAAATTTGCAGGGCTAGAGGTCATGTCTTTCTGAAATAAACTAGTACTTCATGAAGCTGACCAAAATTTTTCAAAGCCTGATGAAATGATTCTGTGATCCTATGAAATGGGTGTAAAGAAGTTTCAGTTTCCTTTTTTGTTGATATTCAGGGTTCACCTTCCTCAGGAGGCAGCCAGCATGGTGGACAGGTGAGAGTTCTTCCTTTGCAGTGTTTACTGCTTTATCCAAGAGACTTGGTAGTTCTCTGTGTAAAAGAACATTTTAAGGAGATGGGGTTTTTTTCAATGTTTTATTTAATTTTTTTGCTAGATATATAGTAGTTACAAATGTATGTGATACAAAGCCACAGGAGAGGTTTTTTAGGAGATGTAATTTCTGGTGCATCATGGTAAATGCAGATGACTCACTCCTTTTTGCACACTCAGTTTTGCACTGAAAGAAATTAGGTAAGTCTCCTTCATATGGAGCTTGCTCTAAAGGAGTACTGTGACATGGATATAGAGATCATTTAATTCTTTTTGTTCAGGGTTCACCTTCTTCAGGAGGCAGCCAGTATGGAGGACAGGTGAGAATCTCTTCCTGTGTAGCCTTTATCCTAACACTCAGCTTCTGTGCCAAAACTCGGTACTTTTCTATTGACTGAAAAAATAATATTTTGAGTAAACTCTGTTAATCTGGTAACAGATGATCAGGTACCTAAAGATACATGATCTGAAACAATACAAAAACTATGAAGGGTCAGTACTTCTGTTGTATCGCAGTAAATGCAGTTCTGGGCCCTCCTCAGTCTGGACCCATTTCCTTTCTGCTACTGTCATGGTTTCTTAGCTCTAACAGTAAGGCATGGCTGGAAGCAGATTGCATTCCTCCTCTACCTCAGCCTCTGGAATACCTTCCTTCAGCCAAACGCAGTATCAGAGTTGATACCAGAGAAGCAGTATGTCTCAGGAGGGGAACGGGGAAGGTCAGGAGCTGCTAAGAGGTGGTGTTCCATGCCCTTGTGAAATGAAAAGTGATGGATAGGGCTCATACTGCTTCCAAATATGGAGTCAAATCCCCAACAAACTTGTCTTTGGCCTCTGAAAACATTTATTGTCAGATTTATTGGAGAGGGAATTAGAGGGGAAAGAGATTTTCAGTCCAAATACAGTCTCCCAAAACTAGGTACATAATCCTGATAGCTCATCATCATCAGTATTATGGAAGATTCATATCTTACAGACTATCCCTAATTTGCACAGAATGTATAAAGGAATAGGTTGAGTCTTTATCTTTCTGTAATCTTCCATTGTACAAAAGAGAGACAATATTCTTTCTTTCAAAAACCCTTAAAGAAACTTTTTGATAGAGAAATAATTGTCACCCTTCTTTCAGGGTCCATATTTCTCAGGTGGCAGCCATTATGGAGGACAGGTGAGTATTATTTCTCTATTTATGGGTTGTTTTTTCCATTGTTCACCTTTCTCTCTTTTTTTCTGCTTTGTGAAAAGCAGTATTTTATAAAGGGGTGGCTTACAGCAAAACAGTGTTTAGGCAGAATAGATGATTCTATGACTTTGTGCTGTGTCAGCCCACTCAGGAAAGTAAAACACAGGAGGCTGCCCTGACGGCACAGCCCAGTGCAGCAGCACTACTCACACCTGCCTGAAGCTGACTTTGACTTAAACTTTAATATTCTGTTTAAACAGTAGCTATTGTAAAGGCCAATCAATTTCAGTATGGTTATAAAGGAAGCATTCGCCTTCCTGCGATGCTTAAATCCATGAAAGACATATAAAAGGTGGGGGCATTTGTGACAGGTCATATATTAAAAAATGTGCAACAAATATCAATACTTTCTCATTTCTTTAGGGTGCAGCTTCTTCAGGAGGCAGCCAGTATGGTGGACAGGTAAAACTTCTGGTTTCATAGTATTTGCAGTTTTGGTACACAGTTCATTAGGAAAACTAACCTGTATTTTTGTTTAAAAAAAAAAAAAAAAAAGAGGACATTCTAAGAAAGAATAGCTTTAAATCAAACTGAGTGAGGATGGCTATGTATGGGTCCGTCTGGTATGTCAGATCATGATATGAGTGAATGGTACAGGGGCCTGTGTGACCCCATGGAAATGCTTCCTTGAACAGATCCTAGTTCTAAAAAGCCCATTTTTATTGTTATGTTTCAGTGGAAACCATTTGAAAGACTAAAAACCACAGAGAACAACTGAAAATGTTACTTAGTAACATCATTAGTTACTCTTTTTTTTTTTTTCTAGGGCTTTTCTTCAGGAGGCAGCCAGTATGGTGGACAGGTAAAACTTCTGGTTTCATAGTATTTGCAGTTTCGGTACACAGTTCATTAGGAAAACTAACCCGTATTTTTGTTTAAAGAAAAAGGAATGTTCTAAGAATGAATAGCTTAAAATCAAACTGAGTGAGGATGGCTAAGTATGGATCTGTCTGGTATGTCAGATCATGACACGAGTGAATGGTACAGGGGCCTGTGTGACCCCATGGAAATGCTTCCTTGAACAGATCCTAGTTCTAAAAAGCCCATTTTTATTGTTATGTTTCAGTGGAAACAATTTGAAAGACTAAAAACCACAGAGAGCAAGTGAAAATGTTACTTAGTAACATCATTAGTTACTATTTTTTTTTTTTTTTCCGGGCTTTTCCTTCAGG